GGAGACAAAGCTCAATTTAGTATTTCACTTTCTTTTTCTAAAGCAGTAAAATAGAAATTAACAGAAGCTTTCCAGTTCTTCCTTCATGCTTTTATGGCATTTCCCCGCACTCGTGTGCACAATACATGTGGGTATAATTTTATACTTCAGTCCAAATGGGAAAGCCATTCATTGAATTGAATTTTTTTGACTGATGTCATCCATGCAGCACAGTCAGAGTCAAAAAAAATATTCATATAGTTTTTGGAGTATGTGCATGTAACGGCTTTAAGGAATAAATAGTTTATTGCAAGAGTGATGAGATGTGAGGGAAGGTTGCCCAGAGAAGCTGTGGATGCCCCATCCCTGGAAGTGCTCATTGCCAGGTTGGATGGGGCTCTGAACACCCTGGATGAGTGGGGGTGTCCCTTCCATGGCAGGGATGTTGGAGCTGGGTGATCCTCAAGGTGCCTCCCAAGCCAGGCGTTCTGTTGTTTTGTGATACAGGCACACATTGGGATGCAGTGTTACCTGCAGCTGGGATGTCAGTGAGGGTTGCTCCTGGGGGACAACTCCAAAGTCTTGTTGGGTTTCCCAGGATCTGTGTGGGCACAGCAGAGGTGTGGCTGCAGGACTGGCTCGTAGAACGTGTTTCCATGCAGAGCTCAGCTTGCATCGCCTGCGCAGGGGCAGCTGTTGCCTGCAGTACCTGGTACCCACTCATGATGTGCAGCAGGTGCTGACTGGCTGCATCTTTATCTCAGCAGCTCAGAGACAGGGAGCAGCTCTTCCAATTAGCACTGCCACTGTGTCCTGATGGTCTGTAAGCCTGCACCTGCAGATTCCAGGGATGACTGTAACCAACAGAGTAGAGGAAGAGCTTTGGCATGCAAAGGTGCTGCAGTAACTTCCTCACAGAGGTCGGATGGATAATCCACAACCAGTGATTCCTTGAGGAGCTGAGCAGGAAGCTGCTCTTTGTGTTTGACAGCACCCTCCTTCTCACTTGTTCTGCTTCATTCTCTCAGCAAATTTATCCAAACCAATGGCTCAGGCTATCAGTTGGAGACAGAAATACACTTGATTTCTGAAGTAAATTGGATTTCTCTAAAAAATAGTGCACTGTTGAGTTTACCCCTTCATTTCCATAACTGGGAGACATGCAGCAAAATCCTGTGAGAAAAGAGCAGTTAGGTATATTCATACTTTGTTTTTATTCTTTTTGGTTTGAAAATAATTTTTTAACTTCATAATCAATAGTTGGATCCTCTGTTTTGCTATAACAAAGTTCCTTCTTTAAGCTTTTGTGGTGTAAAGGGTAGTAACTGCTGAGTGACCAGCACAACAGATGCTTTTCTTTATCAGAACCAAACAATCTAGATAATTTAATGTTACAAAGACATTCTTTAAGGGCCTGGACCACACGGCAAGTTTGGGAGTCTTGGAACTGGTGCATATTTCTTACTGAGCTGCAAATATCGTTTTCACAATCAGTGAGATCACAATGCAGTGTCAGGAAAAGGGGAAAATTCTAGGAAGGTGTTATCCAGTACCTCTAAGTAAGGTGGAAATAATGGAAAGATAATGCCTGGATTCAGGAAGTTGCCTTTATAGTCAGACATAGCAAATCCCAAACCTGCCTTTTATTTTCACAAGCTGTAGTATGTAATTAATTATTTTGATGGGGGTAATCACATGGTAATCATATGACAGGGGTAAACATATAGGTGTTTCATATGGAATTTGGGAAGGAAGTGTTCATGGGTTTTGAAGTTTCATTAATATATTTGAAGGACTGTGTCCTTTGCAGAAGTTAACTGATTTTCTGTTGGTTATTACAATTTACGCCTCAAGGCTTTTTCTGTCATACTGACAGCTTTAGAATAAGGACTTCATCAGTTCAGAACTATTTTTATTATTTTCTTCTGGAGTCTCTTTTAAGCTGTCAGTCCCTAAATCCTCCCTTATAAGTAGGAAATTCTTTTGCTGCCTCCTGTGTTCATTCTGTCTGGCAGGAGTGAGTTATTGGGACAGAGAGAAAGAGCACAAATATCAGTGTAGTTTAGCTGCCCTGTGGAGAGCTAGGTGAAGATATATTTTATATATGTAGTATTTCTTGATGGAAAACACCAAATTACTGCCCTACTTAAACTGGAGAAATTCTGAGCAAATTCTTTTGAATGCAGCAGTAAACACTGGGGCCCTTTTGATGTGTTAGTTGGATTTCTATTCTAGGGAAATGGGCTGACTAAGCACTCTCAGCATAGAGAATATAGAGACTTCATGGAATGCTTATATTTGTACCAAGAATATTTTTAGTCCATGGATTTAGGCTGCATAGGAACAACAGTCTGCTTCTTGAGGTTGGTATTCTCACTGCTTCTTTTACAAACAAACTAACCCAAACAAGCAGAGAATCCAAAATGATTTTGCCCAAAATAACTGGCAGAGCCAGGAACTGCAAGTCCTGATGTTGATTCCGTGCTCTGGCCACTATCAGGTTTTGCCATTTGTTTCAAAACATGCAGGTGATGAGAAAGATAATATTTATGATCACTGAGCCTTTTTGATGTGTTTTCTTTCATGCTTTGTAAACAAACTTCTTTTATTTGGTCTAGGAGTTATTGTCAATGTTGATTTATGTCGTTATATTTGAACATAAATGTCCATTGTTTAAAAATTATGTTTTGTACATGGCTGTTGGTGATTTTAAATTATGAGCACAGGAAGAGCATCTAAAAGCCCCTCAGCTTTCCTGTCATGTTTGCCCCGTGTGAAAATCATTTATCTCATTTTTATTTCTTTAGACCCAGGATTAGGAGTTTAAACTTCCTTTTGAGTTTGTGTCAAAGATCTCCTCTTTTCTACCCAGTTTACACAATTACCTGATTTGGGTTGAGGCATCAAAGGTAACTGCAGAGGTTGATGGTCAGTTCACTCCTTTGTGTGCATTTACTGCACAAACTGACATGAGTTAGCCCTAACAGGTAGCTAGGCTTGAACAGATTTTTTTTTTCTTTTATCCTTTTGTTTTTCCTTCCCTGTTTTCTTTCCTTTCCCCTTTTTCCTTCCCTCTCTTTCTTGACATTCATACTCCCTTTTTGCAGATCTGTTGTGACTGGGAATTCAGTCCCAGTGAAAAAAACAAATAATAAATCAAAATAAAAGACCATGATATGGCTTTAGCACTAACCTTTGCCTTCAAGCTATGTTGTCCAAATATTTATTCCATGATTTACCCATCATCCCTATTCCTCTGTAACACAGGTTTTGTGCATCTGGATTTTGAGGTAGGTCAATGCTTGGGCCAGATCAATTTGTGAGCCCTGTGATGTGTCTTTTGTATGATTAGGTTTTTTCAAGGGAATGTCCAGAAATCCCTACAAAGATCATTAGGACACTGTTTGTGCTGAGCTGTTCTGTGATTTAACAGCTGGATCAGGCGTGGGAGATCAGTTATCATTTCCTGTGATCTGCCGTAAGCTGCACCACAACTGAAACTTGGGCATCTGTTAAACAAACCAGCTCTCTGCTCTCTCAGTCTGGATTGAATGAACAAAGTCACATTGAACATTATTTAAATAGATGTAGATTTCTTAACAAGTTACCAAGAAATTTTGATGAAATTCCACATGATCAAATCAAAATTATGCTGCTCACTTTTAGATGGCTAAGCACAGGAAGGCACTTCAATTGGGTAAATTTTATTAGCATGTCACACAGCATTTCCTCAGATATAGAACTTTCAAGAACTTTTGATGGGGAATAAATACATGGCACATGATCAGGACTTTCAGCTCATGCTGTACTTGGAAGAGCACAGTGAGGAAAGCACAGGTTGAAGAATTGCAAAACCAGAAATCAGTAAACCAGACTATAAAATTTTTGGTTGTAATTTCCTACCCTCCCATTTGAATGCCCAAGTGCCAGCTAGGGAAATATTATAAGTACTGGCTGTTCTGTAGAATTCTACAATTACAAATATTAAATGGAGTAGCAGTCATGCTCTCCAGGAAAGTGGTTCAGAACACAATCACTAAAGTAAAGTCTAAGTTCTAGATACAGCGTGTGTTTCAGGTGTGGGTAGTATTGTGAGTGATAGCCATCTAATGAGGCATCCAGTAATGTCCTTTATTCTTCAGTCCTGCTGCAGAAATAATCCTAAGCACAAATTTAGATGACCTGCTTCTTTGCTACATGCAGAATACAATACATTATTTTGTGGCCGGATTTTTTCAAAAAGTAAGAGCATATGATAAAGGATTTAATTCTTTGGGTCATTGAAATAAATTTCTTTTCTCTGTATGTGGTTATCCAGAATATTAAACAACTCCCTCAGAGACTAGTGCAACCTAAATAAATAGATGTACTTGAAAAAAATGGTTCATTCATAATGACTAATGCTGTAACAATTCTGGGTTTGTTTGAGACTTTACAGTGATCCAAACCCTTGTGACTTCAAAGAACATACCCAAATTAGCACTCTTTCAGGAACTGGATTTGGGTCATGCAGTTCAGTAAATAACACTGAAGATAACGATTTATCTAATCTTCTGCTGTTTATTGGAAGGACTCAGTTGACACTCACTTTAAATTTCATTGCTACACTTCTAAATAAAATGAGAAATAATTTTCATCTGTTTGAGTACTGATTTCTGTCTTGTACACTAGGTTATTAAAAATCCTGTGGTTTGTTGGCAAGGAAGATGTTTTATATTACAAAAGTGTTCTGTACTGTTATCACTAAATTCTTACCTTAATTCTCATTTTTCTACTCTGAATCAAGAAAGCCATGCCTTGCACTGGCATTAGACCTGTGTGTTAATTTCTTGAATGGTACAAAACTGGAGATAATTTCTCTATCCCATATTGCAGTACAAAAGTTGATATATTTTACATTTCAGTTCTTACAACTAATCATATATATACACATATGTGTGTGTCAGCTCTGAAGCCATAGCCCTTAAAAGAAATTGAATAATAGGACTGATTTATCAACTTTGCACATTTTTTGCTTTCAGAAATTAGCACCTGGGGTTAGTCAATTTGCTTACACCTGTGTACAAGATCATCCTATCTGGACTAACCAACAGTTCTGGGAAACAACCTTCTATAGCAATGTGCAAAATCAAGTTCGCTCCCTCTACCTTACAGCCAAAGATGACAACCATGCAGTACAGTTGAAACAAAAGGTAGGAGAATAGCCAGAATTATTAAAATAGTAAAGTAATATTTTTGTTCATATATTAATTGTCTCCTAGGTTACAAAGAGTTATGGTTTTTCCAATTTTATGTGTTTTTCTTTCTTTTTCTTCTGTATTACACAGTATACAGTAACATGAGAAATAATAGAAATTTACATTTATCTGCAAAGCTTTATAATTTGATATTAGCTCAATTTAGTGTGGAAGAAAGCATTTGCAAGACACCTAGTCATTCATTAATGTAACATCAGGCTTTAGGTCACTAATAGCAGCTGCCAGATTCCTTTATTCTGCTTTTGACTGTGTGCCATCTATCTAGTTTGCTTTAAGCTAATGCTAGAATTGGACTCCAACATAAAAAAGCATGAATGTTTCAGCTGGTCTGGAAACTATTTATATAAAAGCTTCCCTCACCTGAACATCCTAGGAATTTGGAGAATATTGCCAGCATTGAGCCATGAGCTGCATTTTATTTCTCAATCTGATTTATGCTTGTTCTTATTTGAGCTAAGTGAGAGCAGCTATGTTAAAATTACCAAACCACTCTGAAGAAACATGGAGGATCTGATGGCATGAAAAAATACCTTAAAAGCAATGATGTTATTTAGATCTGCCCATGTTGTGCTACTGGTGCATTTCAGTAAACTGACCTCAAAGCTCAGTTCCCATAATCATAACTCTCCTTAAACCCTATGGAGGATAGTTATTTGCTCTTTCTTTTTAAAACAATATGTAATTTAAATAACTGAAGAAGTTTAATTACCAATTTAATAATTAAAGCTTTGGCTAAGCTTTAAGTTGTAGCTTTATAATTTCTTCTATGTCTTTATATTTCTTTCTCTGTGTCTTCCAGGAGAAAACTCCTGCAGACCAGGATAAGACAGCGATGGACCTGGCTGCTGAGCAGCTGAGGTTATGGCCAACACTTAATAAACAGACACAGCAGGAGCTAGTCCAGAATGAGGAAAGCACAGTTTTCAGCCAGGCCATTCATTTTGCCAACCTCATGGTCTACCTGCTGGTCCCGCTGGATACAAGCAAGAATAAGCTGCTGAGAACATCAGCTACCGGGGACTGGGAGAGTGGAAGCAACAGCATTGTCACAAACAGGTGAGTATCCAGGTGCTCATCCAGCAGGATGGGCCATGGCTTGCCAAGTGGCTGTACTCTAAAAACCAGATTGTTTCAGCAGCTTTGCTTCCTTTCAAGTTCAGTAGTTAAGGAGAGTCGAAGTCTAACATGATTCCTCTTAAACAGCAGAACTTTGGAGTGATTTACTTCCATTTAAAGGAACAGTGTGTTGTCCCAGTGAGGATTTTTAATCTAGTAATGCAGATGTTGAAGACAAACATGGGTGAGAAAGAAAACAGCAGCCCTAAATCTATTCTGATAGTTTTTATATAACTTGAAAAAACCACTGTATGAACCTAAAATTGAGAAAGCATTTGTATAGCATCTATAAAATCTGCATTTCTGTGCAACAGCTGCAAAGGAGGAAAGGCACTGAGGTCACAAAAAGCAAGAGGGCTAAGCCACAATGGCAAAGGTTAAATTACTAAGGAAGCAGTAGGAGTATAACACCAGTTCCATTCATTCCCTAGCATGCAAATCCAGGACATTTCATAACAATTTCATAACATTTCCTCCCTCTTTGTTTATTGTCTTCATTATCACCTCTCTGTACAAATTCTCACTTGATAAAATTATAGAACACTATGTGAGAACACTGGCATCAAGTAAAAGACTATCAGGATGAAACTCCCCCTGGAGTTACTAATTTCTGCTGACTAGACACCTCTAATCTCAGGCATTAGGACGTGCTCAGTAGCCTGCTTGTGGTGTATGTTGCAATCTATGAATTTGGCCCCAAATATTATTATGGGAGGCATTTTTAGACATTCAAAGTACATCTCCCACTGACTTGCTTGCTTATCTAATGCACAAAACATTTTTCTTATGATCCTTTTAGCTTTTGACTGCTTTGCTCTGCAACCTAAATGTACATTTAATGTATCTTTTTCTATATAACTGGATATTTGCTTACCACTAGTTGCAAATATTTTGCTTAACTTTATGAGGAGAAAACATAGATCTCACTTCCAAAAAGCTATTTTTTGTCTTCTGGGCCTATCTGTGCCAGACTCATGGAGAGAAAATTGTCCTATGTCACCATTCATGAAGTTCTGGCAATGAGAGTGCAGTGTAATTGTGGTACCACCATGTGCTTTTAGCAAGGTTTGCAAATTGTAACTGGAAAAAAAACCCAACAGATTGTCAGTGTCTATCCAAGTGTCATATGTACATCACCAGCTGAATTGTTCCCACTTGTTACTGCTTTTATCTCTGCCCTTAGCATTGCGGGCAGCGTTGCAGAGAGTTACGACACTGAGAGTGGGTTTGAGGACTCGGAGAACAACGATGTTGCAAATGCAGTCGTGCGCTTCATCACCAGATTTATTGACAAGGTTTGCACAGAAAGTGGGGTCACACAGGATCACATCAAAGGTCTGCACTGCATGATACCAGGTGAGAATTGTCACAAGAAGGTGCTTTATAGTCTTTTTTTTTTCTTTCCCTAATTAAACAAACACATTTTCTAATTTGAGTTACCTTCAGATAAGTTAGAGTGTAAGATTTCTTCTCCAGACTCTAAATGCTGTTGAATCTCAGATAATTCTGTCCTTGATGTCAAAATTTGAGGATTTCAGAATTACCAGAGTTTTAATTACTGGGCAGCTTTCTCTTTTACATTGTGTGAGACTTAACTTATGGTATTCCTGCTTCCCAGGCATTGTAGCAATGCACATAGAGACTCTGGAGGCTGTTCATCGTGAGAGTAGGAGGCTTCCACCAATACAGAAGGCAAGTGTTATGAAACATATTTGTATTCTTTACAAATATTAGAATCATGAAATCTTGTCATCTTTTCTTTCCTCTCATAATATTACGAGGAAATATCAAAACGTTAAAAGAAAATTTCCACCAGTGATAAATAAAATGCTTGGCTTTGGTCTCATGAAATATGAAACCAGTAGAGCCAGACTTCTGATCATAAACAAGCTGTTGCATGCCCACTGTTTTTGAGACCCATTTCTCTTCATTGAGTCCAGACTCCATCTCCCTTCTGTAGACTCAGTGTCATAACAATTTTGTTTTCAAGCTTTTAGAACCAAATATTATTATTAGCCTGAGGTATAACACTGATTTACACTTATACTTCCATTTATTTACATCAGCCCAAAATTCTACGACCAACTTTACTGCCAGGAGAGGAATTTGTTTGCGAAGGTCTCCGTGTGCTGCTGGATCCTGATGGCAGAGAGGAAGCCACAGGAGGACTGCTTGGAGGTCCTCATATCCTCCCTGCTGAAGGAGCTTTGTTCCTTACCACTTACAGAATTATATTTAAAGGCACTCCTCATGATCAACTGGGTAAGAAAATCCAAATATTGTGGTCCTTCACATAGGCAGGATTTTGAGCTGGCCTCTCCACCTGTTCAAGCATCAACATCATTAAACAGTTTTTTTCAGACACTGGAAGCAAGTGAAAGGAAAAATATTCATGACTTGGTATTGTATCTAAAATTATTGCTTGGAAACAACAGTGTTTTCTTAATATGTCAGCTCTTCTGAAGGATAATTTTTCATGATTTAACATGTGCCATTTCTAAGCAGATTGTCATTCAGAAGTATAAATTTATTTGGAAAGTTCATGGTCATATGTAAAGATCCCAAAGTATATAATTTCTGTTTATAGGTTATATATTGCATTAGGAAATCTGAATAAACTTGAAATTGTTTCTTTACCCCCTACCAACCTAGGTTTTGGGGGTGCATTTCCATTATGTAGAAGGATTCAGAAGGAAGGAGAATATTTTTCTAATCATCACAGCTGAAATAGATTAGAAATTCAGATTACAAATGACACTTTAGGAATTTGCCAACTTTTCAGGTATTTTTGCCTGAAATTAATCCTATACCATCATGTTCATGTTGCTTTGTATTTACTCTTGTTTATTCCAGTAACAGTGTGAGCAGAGCAGAGCTGCTTGTGTGATCTAACAAATGTCTGTGTTGTTTGTACCCTCAGTTGGGGAGCAGACCGTGATCCGGAGCTTTCCTATCGCCTCCATGACCAAGGAAAAGAAGATCAGTATCCAGAACCAGCTGCAGCAGAGCATGCAGGAAGGGCTGCAGATCAGTTCAGCCACTTTTCAGGTAAAAGGAAGTTTTGTGAAAATTTATGTGGCTACAGTCAGCTCAAAATATTTACAAGAAGCACTTCGCCCTGGTATTTGTGAAGAGTCCGGTTTTCTGCCCTGTAAGGTCAACAGACAAGGCAGAACTCATAGAAACCCTGGCATTTCTTGGCCTACTTGATATTTACAGAGGGTTGCTATTTTCACATTGGATTTCTTTCACTGCTTTCCTCACCTATTTTGGAACCAGAAAAGGGCTGGTTTGGGTCCAGAATCCCTTCGTGTAAGTAGAGGCCTATAGGGAGGCTAGTGAGAACCTGCTTTCTCTCTCCTCCAGCTACATGGAATCAATATGGAAAAGCTCTGAGTATTGCTTTCTTCTCAAGGTTTGTCACTTCACCATTCTTAAAAGCTTCACCACCTTTTCTTTAAAATCTATGGGAGAAAGTTATGGGATGTCACACATGGAAGCTGCACTTCCAGGAATCTTTAGGGTAGAACCAATGACAGACAGATCTTGGAATTTTCTGTAGGATCCCCAATAGTGTGTTCAACAAACATGTGTATTGCAGGGCAGTTGATAGAGATGGACTTGTAAAAATTAGGAATCCTGAAGTCTTTCCTGAATTTTCATTCCTGTTCAAACCCTAAGAGATCAAAAGCTGCAAGCAAAGAATTTTGTATTATGGACTGAAAGTAGACTGCAGTGCTTAAGATAGGAAATGCTTTGCTGGGTTGACTGACTGCAGAAGCATATTTTCATTGAGAACAATAACTCCAGCATTTGAAAACATAACAAAATTTGCTAGTTCCTTACAATAATGAACATTATTTAGCTAATCATCCTTCAGTATCCTCTTCAGAAGCACAAAATTAAGAATGCAAATGAGTAAAACAAGCAAAAAAAAATTGTTCTTGTGGACTTCTGAGAGGACTTTTATTTTCCAGTAATCTTTTTACCAGAATACTTAGCATGCTTCTATGATGTGATAAATACAGACCCAGCTCAGTGTTTTCAGAGCTGGGTTCAGGTCAAACATCATCTTTGCTTTTGTTTAGCATAGTTTTGTGTTAGGTTATGAGAACAAAAACAATCCACAAACAGCTTTTTCTCTGTCCCCTATGTAACAGCCAGGGTTCAATATGGGATGAAATAGCCCCTCCCCTTTGTTTATTAATTATGATTTTCAGATGGGTTTTTGTGCAGCTCTGCTGTGTGATATCTTTAAAACTTCGGATCAGTGTAACCCTGAAAGACTGAAGAGCTCCTTTCAAGGAGGTCCTAGAACAACAGAACCATTAGTCATTTGGAAAGTATTTACAAAACAAGTGAAATTGGAAAAGCAAGGATGAAATCCACCTCCTAGATGGCAAGCAAAAGAATTTAAAAGGTGTCTAGGTATGCACTCAGAATAGAGCTCTATGTTATTTCTTTGTTTGCTTTCTCCACATTCTTAGAGTTCTTTTGGGCCTGTTTATGGATTCCGTATTTTCTGTCTCTTATTTGTTTTCCCCGAATTGTTGACTTCCTTTCAGCGGAGGATCCCCCAGAACCTTTCAAAAAAGCATTTTTAGTCAGGTGGATGGATCAGTGTTGAACAGCACAAGGTTATTTCCTTTTTGAGGAGCAGATTTCACTCACACTTTTGTTACTAGCAGTTTTCTATACTTCACAAGGTGAGGCCAAAATTGGAACATCGAAGTAATAGAAATATAATGGCTCTGACATATGAATGTTGAAAAGCGCCAGCACTACGACTTGGATTTACCAAAATATTTTGTATTTGATCTTACGAGAATTCCAGATGCTGCCTAGTGAAGATACCTTAGTATTAGGACATAAATTTAAAATAGGAAATAAAAAGCTCTTAAAATGTGTAATAGCAGTCAAAATAAATGAGACCTATGTACATATATCTGTATTTTTTGAAGGGCATAATACTGTGTAAATATGGGTGTTTGCTACTATATTTTAGAATCTTTCAATTTCTGAAATTCTCAGGTTGTTTTCCAGTTTCTAACATGTCATGTCTTTAAAACACAGTTAATTAAAGTAGCATTTGATGAAGAAGTAAGTCCCGAAGTGGTGGAAATATTTAAGAAACAGTTGATGAAGTTCCGTTATCCTCAGTCCATCTTCAGCACTTTTGCCTTTGCAGCAGGGCAAACAGCACCACAGATAATTCTACCAAAACAGAAAGAAAAGAACACTTCATTCCGGTACAGTCTTCCTTCTTTTTTCTGATGTTCTTATTTATCCCAAAGCATTGAACAACCTGAAAGCTCTGCACCAGTGGAGATCATGTCAAAATAAGTGATTGCTGCTTTGCATCTCTTCGTATTTTGCATTTCTTTGTATTAACAGGTAGACAGATGTTTATTTGGGATAGGAATGATATTTTTTTACCTAAACTTCTGGCTGCAGTAGATTTGTACGAGCACTTTATTACATTTTGAAATGCACAAAATAGGAGTAGCGTTTTTATTGAACCAGCTGCATCATTAGTCTGTTCCAGAGTAGTAGCTCCTGTGATTCTCTGTTGATTGGTGCATTGTTGACACAGGAAATAGAATCCCAAGCTAGTCATGAAATCTTAAAACTTAAAGGTAATTTCTATCTTTCCTGCCTTTCCTTTGGCAGCTTTCTAGATTTATCCCATTACTGGCAAAAAACCACAAACCTAAAGAAAGATCATATCTGCTTATTCATTACCAGTAGGAGAAAAGACACAAATTTATCTCAAAGTAGTACAATTTTTGTTTAAAAACTAATATAGGAAGCAATTTTTCTGAAGTTTGTAATTGTTTGTATTAAGTGAAAAAAGAATAAATCTTTTTTATTTGTGTTCGTCATAAAAATCTGTAAATGCCATCAGGCAGAATCAGATGAATCTTTCCAAATACTTTTGTTGTTTTGGATTTCTAGTACCTTCTCCAAAAGCATTGTGAAGGGAGCAAAACGTGCTGGGAAGATGACAATTGGGCGCCAGTACTTATTGAAGAAGAAAACAGGCACGATAGTGGAGGAAAGAGGGAATCGGCCTGGCTGGAATGAAGATGATGATATCTCTGGTAACAGTGTGACATTTTATCCATGTTGGTTAATAAATCTATCCTGTTAATGCTTCCATTCTGGTGTATTGAATGAGAAATGCCTTCAGCAAGAAATTGAAGGGCTTTCCTAGACAGGAAAGAGAAGGGTTTCAAATCTGTGCCTTTAGTGAGTGTTTTCTCTTGCAATGAGAAGAGGAAGCTGACTCAATTCAGTGGTACAGCAAAGTACTAGATTATTTTTTAATTATCAAACTATTTAGATATGATATCTTCTAGATCATTTTTACATCATGCTAGCGGAGATGAAACAGCACAGAAGCATGCTGCAGCTTCCATTTATCTCTAGACATCTGACATCTGCAGCTAGTCTGTGATGAGGAAGCAGTAACTGGTGAGGTGCAAGAATGAGCAAATTGGAGACTTTTGTAGGTGTGAAACTGGCAAATTATTTCCAAAAGCAGCAGCACTTGTTACTACTGAAAATAGCACTTCCCATATTTTTGGTTGAAATTGTTTTGGGGTAGAAGGTAGAAAGGGGTTTGGGTATTTTGTGCAGTTTGTGTGATGGTGTGGAGTTTGACTTTCCCCAAAAAGCCTCTTTTCTCCTCCCATGTGCTGCTGTCTGTAGAGCCTTATCTGGACCACTGCTAATTTATAATAAACCACTAGAGGGAACCAGATTCTCCTCTACATAAACAGGTGTTGTTTTGTCCAAGCATTCTTTCTTTAAAAAAAAAATACAGGCATCTCAGATAATGAAGTGTTCTTCAAACATTGATAATTTCTTCCAAACATCAAACAAGCCAAATTTTCCTGTTGAATATTTGGTCACTGAGCAAGTCAACTCATGTGACTTAGGAGCAGACGTATGAAAGTTGTCTAAAGCAGGACTGAAGCCTCTGTTCTCTCTGAAATGGAAGAAAGCCAGTCCAGGCGAGCTTAAAAATACTGTTTCTCTTCTTTCATTCCAGATAAAGTGATGAGAAATAGGCAAAAAGAAAGGTTTGGGAAACACAGGGTGTCTTTAGAGTGCTGAAGAATTACATTCTTAATGGAATTTCCAGCATCTTCCTGAAGTGCTAAGTTAGCATGTGTTCTAATGTTACATGTTCTTTGGTCAGAAACAATTCTGCAGGCTGTACCTGGGTGATTTTGGGGTGATTTTGTGTCACCTACAGACACCAAGCACAGTCATACCTGTGTATTCAGTCTCTTAATGATGGAGAAGTTTGAAGAGTTTTTGCATTGCTGATGCACAAAACAACGGTGTTGTTCCATGAACACGGGTGCTGCATAAGATTAGCGATAGTCACTTCTTTCCTTCCCTAAAAAAAAATGTAAAATTATAACTTGGGAGTCTGTAGGCCTGCTGCTTTCCAGGTGTCTTGGCTGGGAATGTGTTAAGGTGACCGAAGGCTGAGTTTGCTTTTCTTTCTACACAGCACTGGCACATCAGGGACAGGGAGCTGTCAACAGCAGTGACTCTGCTTCAGACAGAGCCCAGAGAGCCACGGGGAGGAATCACTGCAATTCCTTTGATATTGACTGTTGTGACATTGGCTTTGGCTTTGTTTTTGACTACTTTGCAAGTCTCAAAAACTGAAGTGTAGGAAACTATGCAGGTCTGCCAACAATGAACTATCTACAGCAGGTGATGCACTGTCTTAAAAGAGAAATGTTAAAGATAGGGCTGGAAGGAACTTCAAGAGATCAAGCAGTCCAACTCTGCCCCAAGGCAAGATCAACATACTTCATCTGTTCCTCATAGGTGTTTGCCCAACTTCTTCCTAAAAGCTTTCAAAGGTGAAGGTTCCACAGCTCTAGGCAGCTCATACTAATACTTAAACCATCCTTACTTCTGGAGAAAACAAGCAATTTTCTGAGGTTCAGGACTAAACATCTTCTTGCTGAAATTTAAACCCTTCATTTCTTACTCTGCCACTGTGTACATAGAGAAGAGATGATTCCCCTCATTCTGATAGCAATGCAGAGTAGATTTATGATCTATTGTAATATTCTTCTGTTGTCTTCTGCATGTTAAATCTATGCAGTTCTTTCAGTTCTTTATTAGTCTTGATGGACTTCTGATCATCTTCATTGCTCTTTTCTCAGGCTTCTTTAGGTAGCCCATATAGAACTTGCAATGCGATTTTGAAAACTGGGCACAGTACTGTAGTTACCAGTTGTTGCCAATGAACATCTAATTTCCCTCAAATTCCTCCTCATCTCTTTGTTTTCAGACTTTAGAATCTCTCAATCATTAGTAAATTCTGTTACTTACAGTGCTTATATGGGTGTGTTCAATAAAACAAGAGACTGTGAAGCCTTCTTTTGAAAATAGTCATATCTCGGGAACAGTAACACAGAGGGATTATTCCTTGTATTTTTCAAAAGCAAATAAATCACATTAAACTTGAGACAACAAAATATATCTTCATCTCCCTCTTCAGTTTAAGGATGTGGATAGGAGCTCTTAACTTTAGCTTGCTGTGCACAGGAGAGTGTTTTGCGCACTCTGATCACCAATGTACCTGCTTTCATGGGAGAAAAATCCATTGGGGAAAAGATGTTTCACAAAGCACACCTTTATCCTGAGACAGTTACAGATTTCCATTCAAAACTGTTAAATACCAAGATTTTGTATGACCCCAAAAAAGTATTTCTGAAACTCATTTAAATTAGTTCGCCATTCGTGCACTTCATACTTCAGGTGTTGTGTGACTTCTTTTTGCCATGACAAATATGAGAAAAAGAGGAAAAAGAGGAGAGATCCAGAGTGTTCAACTTTACTGCTTAGACCAAATAGAGAAATTTTTTTTTCTTTAGCTGAAAGGGCAAAGAAAATTTTTCATTTAGCTTTTATACTGAGATGTGCAGAAAAAAAATCCTAGCAGTACTAGTCCTGTAAATTCTGAATGTTGTCTACTGCCAGTAAAATATTAATTATAGCATAATTTTTATTTTCTAAATAAGTTTAAATCCCTATTTTATGAAATCCTGTTTTAAGTTTAAATCCTCATGTACTTTCCAGTGCCTCATCCCTGAAGAAATACTTCTCTTATGCACGTTTCAATGCTTCAGGTGGTAGCAAGTGTCTGATACATGCTGTGAGCAGTAAATCTGCTCTCAGAAGTATTTGGAAATGCTTGAAAGTGTCACTAATAGGCAGGTGGCAGGTTTTGTACAAAGACCTTGCTTGACTTGAATTTCAGAGTAGTCTGAACTTGTGACATAGTTTTTTTTCTCTCATGTTTGAAGTTTTTTTTGCTCTGGAAAGGGCAGCTGATATGCACGGCTGGAGAAAGCTGCTGCCTGACACTGGAACTGAGACATTCAGAACCCAACAGTCATGTCTTGTGAAATTACAACACTGAAACATTTCTTAGGCTGGACCAAGCCTTAAAAAATTGTTACCTCTTCTGAAGATAGTTTGAAAAAAAATTGTGTGGTTTATTTTTATCTTGGATCTGTAATGAATCTGTAAAGAATTTGTAAGTTGGTAAAGAAATTATCTGTCTTCAATTCAGTTCAAATGAATATGTGAGATAACTTTCTCCAGGATTTTAGCTAGAAAGATGTCAGCCATGCCAGTCACAAGCACAGTAGGTAACTTCATGCTAGTCAGGTTTGATGACTAAAATACTATTTTTAAATATTATTAAAATACTATTTTAGTGTTTATAAACTCTGTAAACTGTGATTTGCACATCCTGGATCTTGCAATTGATCGCTGAGAGCAGGACAAACTTGTTTAGAAGAAAGTAGCCGTGTTTGCTGTGTAACTGCTGGCCTCCTCAGTAAGACTTTTCCCTTTAGTTTCAGATGACAGTGAGCTGCACACCAGTGGTACCCTGAAAGCATCAGAAAAATCAACCATGGAGCAATTAGTAGAAAGAGCCTGTTTTAGGGACTATCAGCGTTTGGGGCTGGGGACCATCAGCACTAATTCTTCTCGCTCAAAAACAGAATACTTGAGAATAACTGCACTGAACAGGATGTATTCCCTCTGCAGGAGGTGAGTTTACCAATGAAGTAGCTGAAACTAGAGGCACATGTACACATGTCTGCATTTATATATTTGCATTTAAAATCTCTTCTGTTCCTAAATAAAAAAGCGAGCTTCAGAAGCAATTATAAATAACTATTCTCTTCAAATTAAAAAGTATGTGTTGGAGTTGACTTCATGAAAGTATTTACTTCAAAAATTTGTCATGTGCTGAAAGTCACATGCTGTGTTTTAGCACATCAGTGTTGCTAAGTCTTTTTTTTTGTTGTGAAAGCTGATGGAGTTTACTGACACTGCCCACAAAAATTCCTTTTCATACAAAAGCCTATCTGCATGAGTCATATCAGAAGACATTTGCATTCTCTAGAGCCAGTTTAGGCTGGTCATTGCTTTCATTATGGACAATGGAATTGCCAGGAAGAAGGGCACAGAAGAAAAATACTAGATCCTTTCTTGTTTTCTGACTTGTCTAGAGTACTGGTTTTGTTTAGTGACCATGGAATATGGAATACAATGCAGATGAAGGCATGAAATCTGTCCATTTTCATTATGCTTTGAACATTATGCAAACAACCCTTTCCCCCCCTAAAACCATGAGCTTTTAATATTCTGTAGGCTTTTTTGAAAATATAATTAGTATCTGAAAGAATTACAAATCTCAGGATATAAATACTTACCTACTGCTATATTACTGTGGTTTCTGTGTAGACTGTAAATACCATGTACATTTATTTTATCTGGGGGCAGTTGAATAAATGTCCAAGAATTGAATTTGCAGAAACCGTGTATATTGTAGAGAGAATAAAAGTTGTTTAGTAAGCAGTAGCTGTTTCTTGTTCCTCATCTTAGTTTCTCCTTACACATGATACTGGCACTTGAATTTTTTGGGGGAGATAGAAAATCCTGTTTCATATTGCTTGAATCCTTCTTTCACTGACATGAACAAAACTACCATCTTCTGTGTTTCCTTTTTTTAAAGGTATTATATCAGTAATTTCCTGGTCTCTCAGTGGATAGCAGTGTTTTAAACAGAACAAAAGATGCAGTGTCAAGCACTCTATTCTATTACTCTGACTGTAAAATTTAAATGTATTTTTCCATAAACCAAAAGCTATTGTTTTCATTGTGATACTTTAGGCAATCTAACATTCTTTCCTTTCAATTCTCATATTTCATATACAATTGTCAAAACAGAATTACTGCATAATTTGTGTACCTCAAAATTCTGTTTTCTGTCATGCTTAAAAATACGGCTTCATTGTAGTGACAGATAAGAGATATGCTAAGAAGACAAATAATACCAAATAAAATGTAACCTTAAATGGAAAGTGATTAGTAATGACAGTCTCAAAAATTTTTCATAATTCAATTTCTATTTAAAATGCAGTTTGCTGAAATTAATGTATTTGCTAGGCTCAAACCAAAAATTACTTTACAAATGAAAGTAATTCTAACAGTTAAGGTATATTTTGTTAAGATGCGTTTTCAACTTGTCATTTTTAAGAATCTTCTGGGGTTTTTTCATTGCTGAGCATTTTGAAAGCAATTTTAATTGTTGAGTTTGGTTTGTTTGTTTTTATTTTGCTGTTGATGCAGTTATCCTGGGCTGCTGGTGGTGCCCCAGTCTGTGCAGGACAGCAGCCTGCAGAGAGTGGCTCGCTGCTACCGCCACAATCGCCTGCCCGTTGTCTGCTGGAAGAACACTAAAAACAGCACTCTGCTGCTGAGGTCTGGGGGCTTCCATGGAAAAAGTGTGGTGGGCCTCTTCAAATCCCAAAACACACATCCCACGGGTGAGTTGGTGCAGCCAGGCTTTCTGGAGAGGGAATTTCACCTGGAAACGTTTATTGTGCCAAAGGAAAATCGGTGATTCGATTGAATCAAAGGTCTCAGGATATCAGTGGTTATCTGATATTATTAGCTACTGTATGTCAACATCCTGAACTGTATGAAAGCAGTTCAAAAAATGTGAATTAATAATTTGGACAGGGATTGGATCAACACAAGATTTATCAGAATAGTTAGTTTTTCAGAAGAATGTAATATTAGGGTAACATTCATTTTGGATATAACATTTGTTGACTTCCATCATTCACAGGCAGTGTTTAGGATACTTCTGACTGCCTGGATTTCCATCTCATGCTGATGGCTTTTTCAGAGTTAATTTCATGCCAAGAACGAGTCTCTATTTTCTTTAATCAAACTGATAGTTGTTTAGAAATTATTCCAGAATTAGGCCATCATTTTTCTTTCTGGAGGAAGAGGAAATGTGAGGTCGAATTGAAGTACCAGAAACTCATTAAGGCAGCAAAGAAATTCTTTTGTCCTGTTTATGTTTGGGTTTCTCCCTAGTAATGGCTAGAATGCAACTAAAAGTTTTGACTCTATTCATGTTCTATAGAATTTTTCAAAACCTCTAAGAAGCATATTGTACACTTATGCACAAGTGCCATAAATGTAATTTGAAGATTTAATGATTTAAATATTTTTTACATAGTCCTCCATAATTTTTCCTTCACAGAATGCCTTGATGAAAGTCACATTTTTCCTTCTTTTTAAGAGCAATTTATATCACACATAAGGAGTTTTTGTGTGTATCAAAAGCACCTTTAAAATCTCATTATTTCAAAGATATTAGAAAAATGTTTTTAATGTTAGTTTGTGGACTGACTATTAAGGTTAATTTGAGAATCACTAATTATCTACTGAATATTCATTGCTCTAACATTGATTGAGTGTATCTCTTCAGTGTTTTGTGGGAGCATTTTTTTAGTTGGAGTGATGAGCAATGAAGGCAATGAATTGAAATTTATATAATGCCTTTTTGTGGAAAGGATTAATAAAATGAATCAGTGAAGTACTACCCATAGTTGACACAGCAGCTGCCAAAGCTGGTGGCTACACCAGACACACATTCACATTCACATTCATGGTGTGAATCTCAGGCATGGCAATTCAAGTGTTAAATCTTCAACTGATTTAACACTGATTGTCCTGGCTGAAATACAAATGAGGCATCTTGAACCTGCTACAAATAGAGAATAAACTGAAAAACAAACTTGCAGGAACAATCTCAAAATTATGCAAAGACAAACACTTCTATGTTTTCTGTAGTAGTTTCCTGATGGTTTCTTTTCTTAATTTTATATAACCTTTTATATTGCCATTGCCATTTGTCCAGCAGAATATTATGGAGCAGAATAAATGGATTGACAATAGCTGTGTCTGACAATTGCTTCTGGAGTTACTGTTTCTTTCAAAGTGTGAAGAAATTGGAGACTTCCCTCAGGAAGGTGCAGCAAGGAAAATGGAGAATATTTCTAGGGTGCTAATCTTACTCTTAATGAAGTTGAAGCTCATTGAAACAAAGCTGATGAACAAAGGTAGTTACACACAGCTGCCTCAGCAGGAGTTGTGTGCAGAGAAGGAAAAGTCTATAATGAAAAGCGCCTTGTGAAGCAAACTAAAAGGACAAAGATAATCTGAAATTAAATTCAAGCTGACAAATTCATTCTTTCCTAACAGAGATTTCACAGGGGTAGATTTTTTTATTGGTCAGTTCTGGATTGATACAGAGAGACAAGGAGGGCCTGCTGGAACTTAATTTTTGTGATTTCCTGTTGCGTGGTGTGTTACGCAAGTTTTCAAAGCATAGTGGGAGGTCAATATGTTATATAAGAAGCACAGAACATATCTTTAGAGAAATTATGCACAGTGCTTAATTTCTGTGTGGAACCAAACTGCATGTGCAACAGAATTGTATTTTCTTATGTCTGTCCAAAAAAAAAAATTATTAGCAGATGTTCAAATATGAGATGGAGAGTATATACCTCCTTTTGAAATGTTCCTTTAAATCTGCAAGTTGATTTCTGAATTACTTTGACCTCGCTGGGAATTTTGTTGCAGCGCAATGTAGTTCTAAATATGACATTCTACACTTAAATTAGCATTTATTGGTCAGCTACCCTGTGGAAAGAACATTTATGTTTCTTGGATGTAGTAACACTATCCAAGAGAACATTTATCTTGGTTCAGGCTTAATTAGTGATTGCATTGTAGTGACTTGTAAGATAAAGGTGGAGTAACCTGTGACCAGGCATATAAAGCACACATTAGCATTTCAGGACTAAGCAATGCATTTCTTTCCTGAGATAAACACAAAATTAAATGGGAAAAAATTGCTACCAGACTCTCCATCTCTTATCTTTTGTTTAAATCCGTGTTGCTGTGGTGACCTTCACGTGTGACACAGCCCTTGGGAGGTGGTCATTTCATAGAAATCCCAGTTGAACTGTGCTGGGATGGGGCAATCTTTAAGTCATCTCTGTATGCTGCTCTGGTGGGATGAATTGTTGTAAGGATGAAGGGCAAATTTTCCATCTCCCATCCTTCACAAGGACATTTTTGCCCTCAGTCTTTAATTCTGATACCTGCTTGGTTCAATGACAGGCTTTGATGTGAGTCAGACTGTTTTCTAAAGCACACACAATACTCTTTACAGAATAAAACTGTGACAGTGTGAGTGGCATAGGCATTATCCTTTCATTTAGACAGTTCATTTCTTTCAATTTAACTAAATTGTTAAGACCTAAATTGACTTTTTATAGTATTACTTCAAGGTCTAGAGGACCCAGAGATCATCCCAGTGGATTTCAGGATGTGTAAATCCTGCTTGGGAATAGAAGAGAAAATATTGTTCCTGCTCAGGCTTTTTCCACTTTGTCAGACAGAAACAGCATGTTTCCTGTAGGAAACATCATCACATCCTAATTGTGCTTTCAATTCAGATACTAATTTCTATCTTGAAATTCCTTTTGCCACCTCCAGCTAATTAGCTTACTGTCTATTAGTCTCCAGCATAGAATGAGATTGGATTATCATTGGAGAATACTATTTATAAATTACCACTGTGTTTTTCAAAATATGCTCAATCAAATTCTTTGTCTCTGTCTCTTATTCCAAATCTTGGCTCTTGTGAGCAAGATACCAAATGCTGGTTTAAGCAGCTATGAAACTTTTGCCCTGTATAAAGTCCAAAGATGTCTTTGGATGTCAATAAACTGGAATTCCCAAAATTTTGTTTGGCATTTGAAAAAAACGTTAACTATTTTGTCATTGTGCTGTGGTCCAGGACCTGAGCTTCATCTCCTTTCCTTAAGTCCTTGCACCTGGACACTATGGGTGGAGTTTTTCTGATTTAGATTATTTGTTTTTCTTATTTTTGAGGTATTTTTCCCTTGGTTGTGTGTTGTGTTAATGGTTTCTTGACTTTTTTTATGGATATTGTATCTCAAGGAACCTCCAAGTACAGGTAAGTAACCTTCCCTTTCTGGAATGAGGAAGAGCTGGTTGAGTGTGGTTTTAACTTGTAAGTAGCACAAACTTGGAAATGTTACTTTTGTTTGGCGAGTGAAGGGAAAGCTGCATTATCTTCACTCGGTTTGTGCTGATCACACAATGGCCAGTGATGAATGTTTTACATAGTGACCATGAGGTAAAAGTTTCAGAAGTTCAGCTTTGTGTGGAATGCAAGAGAACATTGCTGCATCCTGCTGTGCAGCCAGCACATGAACAGCTTGTCATCAGAGGAAAGGCTTTTTGAACCTTTGACAGGCAAACCAGGACATTTTCCATGCTCTGCTTTACACAGTAAGCCTTTTATTCTATGTATTTACCAATCGTGTTTTTCTTCTTTTAATGCATTCCATTCTTCTTGTGACTCTAGCTCCCGCTTCTCTAGAATCTTCAAGCAGTATAGAACAGGAGAAATACCTACAAGCCTTGCTGAATGTGATATCCGTCCACTGCAAAATGAATGGCAGTAATACACTCACTGTTAGCCCAACCATTGCTCTGTCTCCAGGTAAAATTGGTTTGTACAGTGCTTTTTTCTGGCTGAGAAGTGATTTTTCTCTGATTTGGTGCTAGTTCCATATGAATTCTGTTGTTTCTTTATTCTTAGTCTTTCCAGAGCCTATTTGCTTTTACTTTCAGTGAATATGCTTTCTCTGTGTAAAGGATGTTTATAATCTTTTCTGAAATACTTTTCAATATTGATCTAGTAAAGTCTTTTGGAACTAATTAAGCATAAACTGCATATTGAATAAAAGGCTACCAAATTTAAAAGGATGCAGATTTGCTCTTTTTTATATAATGAGGCAAAATCTGCTCTGTTCTATATAATGAGGAAGTATGAGGTTGCAAGATCAGAACGGATAACATTGTTTAGGTGCAGCAGCAATAGAAGACATATTCTTTATGCATTGCATATCATAATGGGTTTCTACTAATGTAATTTCCAAGTAGAGCTCTTTTTGCAGTGAAAACTCTAATAAAATACACCATTTTAGTTATGCCTTGGTGGAACCATGAAGAAATTAATCCATGTTTTATTTCAGTTATTTTATGATGAAAGCTGCTGAGGTTTAGGTGTCCCCAACGTGTCAGGAAGGACTATGTGACTTGAAATTGTGTCTCTGTCTTGTCTTACTTGGTTGCAATTGGCCTAATACTGCCAAACAGTGGCTTTTCTTGTAAAGTAACATCATCCCAAAGTGTGTGTGCTTTGCTTCATTTATTGTAAAATATGTTGATTGCTTAGCTGTATCTAACACCTCCATACTGTTGCCAATGTACGCATTTGTCTTAAAAAATAAATCTGAAGTACAAAATTGGCAAGAATTAGCTGTATTGGGTGAAAAAGGGCATTTTATCAGTCATATTAAGTGTTAGTCTGGTTAACACTGTAGCTTTTTTAATCTTCTATTCTTTTTTTGGCTGACTTTAGGCACTGAAACGAGGGCTTCAAGAATGTCTACTGTGTTTAAGCAGGTAGTGCCAGGACATTTGGATGTAAATCTATCCAATAGCTTTGCTCGAGGAGGTTAGTAAGACTAGCTCAAAGTCTATTATTTGAAGTAATAAATGATGAAAAAATGTTAGTGAAATAAAAATAATTATACTCTTTATTGATTCATTGCTCTGTGAAACAACAAAACAGAAATTAGATTGGCCTCAGTCCACAACATGATCTAATTTCTGTTCAAATCCTTTACTTACCATTGAAATAAAGTTGGTTTCATGTTGGAATTAGTGAAAAATTAAACACTCAGATAGGGATTATGTTTCTAAATTATTTGGAATTCATCTATATTTTTAATTTGTATATGTATGGCCTGAAAACGCATATTTTTATATAAGAATTTAATAGACTTTAGAATCTGCAATTACAGATCATTCCAATGCATGTCTGAAACTTAGCTGATGCTTCATAACATTACAAATAATCTGTGCATAATTTTACTCTAAGGAGTAGAGAGTTATGTGGCCAGGTCTAGTAAGGAGAGAGGTACAGTACATTCTCTGGAAATAGTTGTTCTTAGGCACAGGGGCTCATCAGTGTCATTGCTACAAGAACCTTTCATTATGTTTGAGGGATTCCAGCTACTTCTACACTCCTAGTCTGATGAAGTCATGATTTTTTTAATGTGCAACATGTGCATAAATTAGTGCACCAAATTTCTTAAATACGTTTGTTAAAATAGGGATGAATCTATTCTGTAAGAGAGCACATTTATATTTGATTTATTACCTTTCAGCCATGAAGGCTCTTTATAATTATTTCTAAGTTGTTTTTCTTCTCTTTTGATACCTCATCTAAAATGAGTTTAGATTTACATTGACCTGCTGAGTTCCATTCCAACCTGAATCCTCTTGTGTGATACAAAACCCACAGCCTCATATGAGGAAGGATAAAAATACTTATAGAGAAAAACTTCCAGAAGAGCTGGATGGGATTAAGGAAATGAGAGAAGGAAAAACACAAGAGGGAGGGGAAAAGGAAGAGATGTATAAGGAAGTGATGAGAGAATTGTAGCAGAAGGGAAGAGAGGAAGGGCAGGAGAGGACATGGGGATCACCAAAGAGTGGGGAATTCTGTGCATTTTTGTTAATCATAGGAAATGCGTATTTCTTATCAAAGAGTTTTGTTTATGACCTGTGCTCCCTATGTTGTTACTGTGTCGTAGCTGGGGATGAGTAAAGCTGGTGATCTGGGTGAGACAGCTGGGGCTGAAGAGAGCAGGAGGGAGTAGTGGCTGCAGCTGTTGGATAAAGGATGCTGTGCCCAGGCTGAGCGCTGGAGCAGTGGCAGTGCTGCTGGCTGACAGCAGAGCTTTGGTTGTGTTCCATCCCCTTGTGCCAGCACAACAGCAGCCAAGTGGTGCAGATAAGTCAGGGAAAGCTCGATGGTTGCTGTGTGGAAGTTGTCTTTTGAAGATAAAGGGATTACTGAAATAACTGCTGCTGGTTTCTAGGATTAGAGTTCGTGGTAAGTGTGATAGGATGAGTTTGTTGCTACTCAAAGAAGAAGAAAGGAGCCTGAAGGCAGTGTTAGGTCACAGACGTGTTGTTTTATTGGACATTGAAATCTCTTGGCTAGATTCCAGCAGTAATCAGGAAAAGGGCAGGGAAGTTATCTTGTGTCTTTCTGGATCGCTGCCACACCTGCCCTGGGTATCTGAAAGGTGTCTGTTCACAGCTCAGCAGGACTTGGGAGGACTTTGCTGAAACATAAGAATGTTTGACAAGTACAGTGGGAGCCCTAGGGAAGGTGAGAAGTTGACAGGGGAAGAGGGAGCAGAGAAAGGGAATATCTCCCTGGGGGTTTTTTTAGATTAGCTGACACAATTCTTTTAAAAGAAATTTAAAAATACACAGAGTATATAAAATCTCTAAAATTGTTCTCAAACCTGTTGTTACGAAGTTCCTGACTACTTTTTCACAGCTAGATATATTTCACATGTGAAGCAGCAAGCAGCTATGGGTTATACACTACACTGCTAAATACAATAGCAGTGTTTTTGTGGTTTGGATTCTGGAGCACTCTTTCTTTCCTTGTATTTATTATCACACATAGCAGGGCTCAAAAGCCAGGTTCAGCTATGATACAGCAGTAGAAAATTATATTTTCTATTTTTTTGTGCCAGACCATTTATTTGTAATACCTATAATTTAAAAATATAAGTTAGGATACATGTTCCAGTGCCTGAATCGTATTTCTCATTTTTAAAAACCATCATTATTCTGAACACTCATCAGTTGTTCTGAATATTTGTGTCTGTGTCAAGTATGATTTTTTTACTTTATCTGGAACATTGTCACGAAGCATTTGCCCAAAGCTCAGTCAAGTTGGTTTTGATCTGAAATAGTTGGTCTAATAGTTATGTTTCATAATATAATTTCATTCTTTGACCTTTTCATGGTTGATATTTTTCATGAGAATTGTAAGTTCATTCAAAAGCCATAGCTTTTCCACTTATATTACTTTGTCAGTATAATGTGGTTCTACAGAGCAGCAGTTCAAACCTGGCATTGTTGTGTAATTTAGCAGAATAAAAAGTTTTCTCAGGAAGTTTTGCTGCTATTGGAGAAGTACTAGGATATTTATAATTAAAAAATACAGACCCAGCTCAGAGAATTAGTTTCAAAGCAGGAAACATTAATGTTTTGCGTGTGTACTCAAATACAATTCACTCAAATTCTTCAGAAGAAAATTAAGTATTCTACTTTAGTAGAATATTTGTATTAAAAGGACTCGGTTATGTTGATGTGGATTTTGGGCCGAAGACACATGCACTGATAAACATATAAGTCTCTCACAGAAAATGATGATTTTTGCAAGGGGAGAGAGGGTCTCTTTCTGTGGTAGATATTACATGTTTTCTAAATTATATACTTGTACACAGGCCATTTAAACATGTTTTAAGGTGTATAGAACTAATATATTGCATTCTGCTTTAATTTTGAGGTCCATCAAATGCTACACTTAACGTCCCTAGACTAAACCAGTTTTTGTAACAGGCATTACTGTTGAGATTTTTAATTAAACTAACTTTCAACTGGATAGAAACTTTCAATAAATTATTCAACAGAATGATTTAATCATTACATTTCCTTTGGTATTATAATTATGGAAAAACACATGATGGCTTTGCTACATGTTTGAAGCGATTGCAATGACAATGAAAATTATTCCTGTTTGATAAATGGATACCTCCTTCCCATTTTATATTGGTTTTGTGGCTTGATTGATGTTTTGTCTTGTGATGCCTAAGATTTGTGCTGTCTGATAAATCATGTACTATAAAGAAATGCAATATATACCAGATCTTTGGAAATTAATAAGTAACCCTTTTCTTCTCTCCTGCAATGTGTTTCGCTGCAATGTGCATTCCATTCCTCCTCCTTCTGTCTTAACTGTTATCTGCCAGTGCTTGGGTACAGAGATAAATGTTTCACTCATTCCAATTCCAAATCAGCAACTAAGGAAAGAGTCCATCAAGGTACTGTATTCTGTATCCTGAAAGCCCATTCTTTTCTACCATCCTCTGCTACAATGTCTTAATTCATTCTAAAGTGATACTGACAGAAAGCTTTGTTTCTGCATTAACATTTCTCCATTAAAATTTGAGGGTGTTTATCTCAGTGTTGTGGATTTGTTACGTTTTGAGGTTTTTTGCCCATTGAATGTATGCACAGTGATGTAATACAGCAATATGTAGAAAATTTTCTCTGTGAAAGCTTTAAACAGCTGAAAATCAGGTCTGGAAAAGAGTTAAGTATTCCTACTGCTTTAGTAAAATAGCTTACCTTGTCAATTAATTACTTTTCATAGTTATTAATGTTAATCAGCAGGGGAAAATTGATTACTGTCAAACCAGAAAGTCATAATAATACAGTGTATGCCAAATAATGAAAGCAAGATAGTCCTAACAAAAATAAACTACTAGGCAAAAGTACAATAGAAACATAATTGTGCCTTTTAATCACTGCTGTCCATGCTGGTAAACATGGTCATCTGCATGTCTTTGTAGCCACTTTTGTTGCTTTTGGTGTGCCACAAGTTCTGAGGATGGGTGCATTTGTGAAATGCTCCAAAGTGTCACTGTGTATTTTTGTACACTTCATTTTTGGGGACAGCAGTCTGTGTTGGAGCTTCCATTTTTCATACCAAATGAATGAGAACTTTTTTCTCTTATTAAGTGTTAGCTGTGATTTCTGCTTGCTAAAGTCTTTACTATTTCACGTGTAGTAGCTGCAACGTAGAATAAAAATTTGTGCTAAACAGACTCCTTTACCACTTGAGGTGTTTTATAAAAGTGGCTGGCTGTGAAGTGGGAGCTTTTGAGAGCTGTTTCTGACTCAGAACTCCTTGTCAGCCACTCTCAGTTGCTGCAGTTCATCTGCTCACATCCCAGACCAGCAGCCAGACAGGCAGACAAGCTAAGCTGTACAGACAAGTCCCTGTTGAGAGTTATTGTACAGAATTATTTTTTAATAGAAACCCAATCCTGCTTCTAAAAAAACAGAGTAAAATTATTTTGTTGGTTGAACTATCTCAGTGGAATTTACTGTTATCTGCATCCTTTTTCCTCTGTGCAAGAAATGTTAACTATGCACATTATTGTGTTTTCCTAAAGAGAGGTGGGTGTCAGTCCTATAGTATCTAAATTTCTAGTACTATGAGGTATTTCTGGTGCCTCTTTTGGATATCTTGCTTCACAGATTTATGGACAAGAGTCTCTTCTGATAATCTGATTTACTGCATAGTGGGATAAAGAATTTCACACTGCCATTTGGACGCCAAATTTAGTATACTTTGAGAGATTTGATTTTCAAGTAGTGCTGTTCATACTCTGAGAATCCAATACCTTTCACATGCTTAACATTGCACACACAAAAACATTCTCTGGTTATTAATTGAGGTAGAAGAAACAGAAAAATATTTACTGCTTGTCTTTTCTTCTAGCACTAAACAGGCCTTGGCAATCCGGTTTATCACTACTTTGTTAAAATCACCCAAACTTACTCAAGCATGATAAGATTAGAGAATGTCTGCATGCTGCAGGAGTTTCCTCCCCTGGCAGTGCCAATAGAGCTGCAGCAGCATTGTGCAAACTCAGAGTTCTGTTGGGATATTGGTGTGATGCCATTCAAAAATTGCTGCTTGCAGATGCAGTCCGTGGTTCCCCATCACCCTGCACTTCATGTTGTTGCTGGCTTTGGGATTTCTGTACTTTCCTAATTTCTGTCCCTCTAGGAATTTCATTTCCATGCTCTTACATGGCCATTGCTATTTGCAAATTGGGATTTATCACTGTGTTATTGATACCCCAGCAGCTGTTTTCTCTACAGCAGAAAGCGCAGTGCAGAGTTAAATGAGCGGCTGAGGTTAAACAACAATGCAATAGGATGGTTTTGGCAATTTTTGTTACAAATCTATTTCTTTCCATTACAAAGAATTATAATTATATCCTGTGAGGGATGCATGTGACATGTTTAAGCATATGTCTAAGTAATTATGGTCTCCAGTGCCTCACACAAAGTGTTTTTAAATATTCTTCATCCTTGTGAAGGTGTATGGGCGAGTCTTCGTTCCAGCAACCGATTTATCAACACTCAGACTCCATTCATTGATGTGGGTGCAAGACTTGCAGGGAAAGATAACACCCCTCCCTACAGCAGCAGCTCTTTCCTGCAAAGTCAGCTTCTGAGGAGACAAGCAGCCCTTTATATATTTGGAGAAAAATCTCAGTTACGGGTAATGACAATGTTTAATTATTTTTTTTATGTTTAATGTAGTTTTAATTTGGTTGAGTTTAATTATTCTCATGTTGTTACAAACAGTAAATGATGTTCAAGATAACATGGAAATATGTTATGAAGGAAACAAGACATTGTTAGCCAGGGAAGTAATTATCAGAGAAGGAAATCTTCATTAATGTGGGCAGCACTAAAGTCACATAAAGCCAATGATGAGAATAAGGCCGAGCCAGAACTCCTGATTTGATTACATGAAGAGGACCATGATGGCTACAATTTTGTACATATTATTTGACAGATTTTAATGTTTTAGATGCCATTTTTTGAAAAACGGGTGTCCTCTAATTCTTAGTAGTTTTACTTGTTTTCTGAAAATGTTTTTTAGGGTTTTTTTTAAACTCTGCATTCAATGCTTAAAAAAACGGGGTTTTTTCTACTTTCTTGTTCAAAATGTTAACATACATGAAATATTAATGTATTTTTTGAAATACATAAGGTATAAAACCCATTATTGATAGCAGGAAAATACATCACTATTCATTTTTTTCTGAAATTATGTTCTATCAGGAGGTGGAGGAGACATGCTGTAACAGAATAATGCATCAATTACAGAATTAAATTACTATATTCTACTAATAATGGCTGTTTCTATTTGTTGGATCTCTTGATGAACGATAAGTGAAGAGTTCAGTCATGCACCTACAGCTGTGTAGCAGAAATTACTGCTCTATTCTAATTATCACATCCCATAAATTGATAAGGAGAACGGAAATAGACATTTTAAAGAAATTATGCTACTTTCCTCAGTTGCTTTTGTCATGCGTTACTACAACTTACCATTGTTAAATTTTTGAATGTATTTTTGAACCATGCCAAAATATAAACAGAATTAAAACCAGGCTTTCACTTTCCTACATTTTTGCTTGGCATTCTATGAAGGAGCTTAATGAAGATTATTTGCAGGCCAAGTTTAATTCAATGGAAGCAATTTCTGAAGAAAACTCAAAAAGTTTGGCATGAACATCTTCAGTGATGCTTCATACATGAGACTTGTTTTTCCTAATAATGCTCTCCATATTATCCTTTTCATGGTCATCCATTGGATTCTGCTGGGTTTTTTTAAGTCAGCAAACTTGTTCTCTTAATTCAGTCCTCCTCTCCTATTGCTAAATGCCATAAGTTAAATAAAACATGAGGAATTCTGCTAGGAAAACCATCCAGCTGCTTTTCTGTGCTGAACAAGGTACTTCAGACAAACAACTCCCTCAGTGTCCAGAGATTGTTAGGTGACTCTGCTGGTTTGTAGTTATGGGGCTTCTTTTTGGGTGTGGAGGGTACTTTTTTCTGCTTTCTTGAACTCCCCAAATGTGTCCTGCACTGTTCATATGTCAGCCATACAGATATTTTCATTTTTATTTGTTTATTGTTGATTAGCTTTAAAAATGTTAAAGGAAGTACGCTATGTTGTGTCTAAAGAACTGAACAGATTGTCATTCAACTTTGGTTCTTCATCTCTATTACTGCTAGGATAATTCTAATTATTACTGAAAACATGAGTGCTGTGCAGTACATTCTGCTGTTACAGTTATAGTTGGGTACGTCATTGTGGTACATTTTGCAAGGATTTATATTTTGTATTTTATATTTTATGTCTTTTTATATATTTTTAATATTTTTATATTTTATATAATTTTTATATTTTATATTTTTATATTTATATTATAGTTTATGTTTATATTATATTTTCTATTATTGCATGATAATACTATTGTATTACTTATTTTATAGTATTTATTTTATAAATGTATTTTATATCTTTATTTATCATAGATTTTTTATTATCCTGGGCAGGTGTTTAACTACACCAATTTTTCATGAGGAATTAATTACTTAGCAATAAAACAGGCAAGACCTTGGGATTTAAGGAGACTGTCAGTGAAAAATATGCTTCCCTTTTAAACTACATCTGCTGTTGTCCTTTTCATACAGGGCTTCAAACTTGATTTTGCTTTGAATTGTGAATTTGTTCCTGTTGAATTCAGTGACATCCGACAGACAAAGGCGAGCTTTAAAAAGCTGATGAGAGCTTGTGTTCCCAGCACTATTCCTACTGATTCTGAGGCAACATTCCTCAAAGCACTTGGGGAGTCAGAGTGGTTCCCACAGGTAATTTATCTGACAGGTACTTCTGATAATCTATATGCAGTACTGCTCACACAAAATAAATTCCAAGCTCTTGTGACAGAGGACTATTGTGTTTCTAACCAGCTGTTCTTTGCTCATTGTAAGCACTTTGCATGCTATCTGTTCTGGCATTACACAATACCATCATATTTGTGAATAACATTTACAAATATGGGAGGCATTTTTATAACAAAATTTATGTTTTATAACATTTGAACACACACAAGGAGAGATATCTGGGGTTTTGATCTGTATAAATTCATGGTCTTGATTTTAAATTACTTTTTCTTATTTTATATAATTTAAAAATCAGAAAAAGAAAGTCTGGAACAATAAATGAGATTTTTGATTTTAAAACCTATATTTGACTTTTCATATGTGTTCCTACCCTGGATTTTGATATGCACAAGTTAAAAATCAAGTGAGCATCTGTTGTGGGATATGGGAAAGTGTTCATGGGGAAGAGAGGATTCTATATGTGTTACTCTCTTCTCTCTGAATCTGTACCTTGATTTCCCTGTCTCATATTCCTTTACATAAATATTAACCAAACAGATGTAAGACTGGAGCAAACTTTGAAAGATTCAAATTTAGAAAGATGTGGGAAAACCAGCTCTTTATAACTCTAAAACCACTTTAATTAGGGTGAATGGTTTTTAACAGCTACTTGTTACATTAGGAACCCACTGCAGAATATACTTTTCTCAAATGCAATTAATCACAGAAAGCAAAAGCTTCCACTGATTTCTTGAGAAGGAAATACTTGTGAGTAACATGTCAGTTATTACACATCAGGAAATGCACTTCTGGTTGAAATGTGCTGCAAGTAGTGGCTTAACTCCTTCCCTGAGGTGAGAACAGGAGCTCATCATGGCCACCAAGGTTTTCAGGAAGGGCAGAAGTTGGGAGAGCATGAAAAATACTTGACTTCCTCATCATGTGAACATTTTCCATCACAGAGTGGTAGAGCAAGTTCATGAGTGCAAATAAATTAACCATTGAATTGATGAAATAAACGTGTCCCCTGTAGCCGCCCAGGGATCAAGGGTGGATAGCACTGGAGTTCCTCTCCAGGAATATTCCCCTGGAACTCCAGGAGTTCCTCTCCAGGCACATTTCAGAGCATCATCCTTTGCTTTGAGTGCATCTCTCTGCTGAGGACTAGGACATAATGTCACACACTGGCTTTGTTGCATTTAAACCACATTTCTGTGGTTTAAATCATGTCATATCTGACTGATGTGATAAAGCTAATTTATGACTGATAAAGTTAATTTATGACTGATTTGGCACATTTTCTGCTATTCCCATGAAAGAACATAGATCTGTCATCTCAGAAATGTTTTCTTTGTATTATGCTTTTCTCTTCTGGGCAACAGAAGTTTAACATTACTGATTATAACACAGTACGGGCTATCTCTTCATAAGAATGTGAATACATAGAAGAAAATAGAAGTGCTGCCCTATCTTCTGAACACAAATTATAAAAATATTGTTTTGCATTTTAAATAATGGGTCTGTAAAATCAGATTGCATATCAGTTTCCTGTTTAAAGGTGGAAAAAACCAGCCTTTCTTCTAATGCCTAAGAAAGCATAGAAGAATAAACAAGATTGGTTTTAAAGGTGGTTCTCTTTTCAGTCTTTTCCTATAAAAATTGCAGGAAAATTAGTCTGTTTGGGTTGGTTTTTTATTTCTAATTAATGGCTATGAGAATGCTCAGAGGGGTCAAGGTTTTTCTATCACAATTTCCATAGCAATATTCATCAGTTCTTTAAGAGGAAGAAAGCAGACTGCCATGAATAAGGGTTAAACTGTGGTTTGGTTGATCTTTTTTCTTCTTATTTTTTCAATTTAATTTTCTTCTCACTTTCCTGTGCCTTTTGTACTTTCTGAACTTACTTTTTTTCTTGCATAAATGATCTTAGATGACTCTTACCATCTTTTGTTTGTTTTCCTATACTGTTTTCTTCCTTCTTTCAGGCTTTCATCTTTCCTATTGCTTCTGTTGGTTGGATTATATTCAGTGCTGCACAAAGAACAGTTTCACTCTGCTGTAAAAAACTGAATTGCTATGTATTACCTATTATGTTGTTTACCAAGAGTGCTGTCATAGTGTACAAAAATGGTAAAATCATCATATAGATTTTTCTTTTTAGTAATAATGATGTGAAATCTCATAGTAAGATAAAATTGCCCAGAGTCACCTGAACTTCTTTAACCTGTTTATTTGAGCATCACTGTGTAATGACTATTAAAGTGCAAATAATTAAAGTGTCCTGTTTTCATATATTTTAGCCTTTCTGCCCAACTATCTAAACTGTTTCTCTCTTGTTTTTACTATTGTTCAATTCATTAATTTCCAACTTCCATGGGACTGAATATTAGTAATATTATCTTGTAAATATCTTGCATGGGTTCTCCCATCAAAGTACTTAGTGACTTTATGGAATCTTAACATTTCACAGGAAATTATTTTAGTGTTAAGCCCAGGATGGAATTTCTCTCTAGTAAATCTGTCAACTGTGTTGTTCCCATTCTCCTTTTTATGACAGCTATTTTATTGCAGTACTCATTGGCTTTAATACTTTAGGTTCCTATCTTCAAAACTTCCCTTAGTTTTCTTGTAGTTCAGATGCAAATCCTTAGACTGATACATTTTATTTTTGCCTGGTTGGTTGCATCAGTGTATTTCTCTGTGCTATATGTAGATCCAGGAATACATTTTTTAATATGAAAATATTATATTTATTGATATTATCTAAAGATTTATCTAGAGTGTGTTACTCAATCACAATATTTTATAGCTTCACAGGATAATGCAGCTGGCTGTGATCATCTCTGAACTCCTGGAAAATGGTTCTTCTGTTTTGGTTTGTTTGGAAGATGGCTGGGATATTACTGCTCAAGTAAGCTGCTATAAAAACCTTGAAATAGTTAAATATTAAGAAAAAACACCAGGCAATACCTTTTTACACAAGTGACAGATAATTTGTATAACATGAATAAATCTGTGTTGTGGCTAAAGAGAAGAAACCAGGATGCATGAATCCTTGCATTCATTTGCAATTTATTTAATGAGATGATTCCTTGCAATAAATTCCTTCCAAAGGTCCTGATGGTCTTAACAGTTCTAAGGCTAAGATATAAAATCTGCATTCCTACACCTGACTATGTGTAAGAATGTAAGCTAAAAGTTGCCACAACTGTCCATTTATCATTTTAAACATTTTAAGCACAGGAGAAATTTATTCTCTTCATTCAATTTCCATATGTTATGTTAGGAGACCACACAGGGAGAAAACTGAATTTGTGCCAAAGTGCCTGTAACACTTGCTGCAAGGACAGATCACCTCAAACTGTAAATTGGGTGAATCAAGATCTCTGCTGCCTGATTTAATAGATGTGTCCATGCTGCTGCTTCATAATTCAGCAGATAAACACAGATACCCATAATTCTAGTAAATAAAACCTTCATATGCAGCCATAATACCAACTAAATACTGGGTAAACAAGCACACAAAAGAATGAGACCATAATTATTGGAATCATTGTCAAACAGTGAAGAGTAGAGAGGGGAGATACATAGAAGTGCAAGAAGGCTGTGCTGCATTTTAAAGTCTTCTGAGATGCTGTGTATAAAAAAAGACTTCAGTTAGCTGTGGAGAAAGCTCTAAAGTCACCCTCTGGACCAGTTCTTGAATGTTTTTTTTTTGCTGAAGTAGTAGATACTATCTTTTAAACGTTTAATATAAAAGGGGTTATATTTCAAACATAATTTAAATGTAGTAAGCATTGTAATCACCTCCCAAGTCTGTAGCTGCTTAGACTTTACTTCCATAGAAACCATAAAGTCTCAATGCAATTGAAGCTTTTTCATGTGGATTATTACTTGTTTTGTTTCATAAAAGTAATTAATGTATGTGATAAAATACTTGTCATTGAGTTTATACAAAAGCTTTTGTTTTCTTGAGTTCATTGTTAAACAGATGACTGAATGCTTATATTCATTTGCTAAAGGTTTCTCCTGACTTCTGTCACTCCTAACACAGAATATTCTGTCTTGTGGTCTAGGTGGTGTCTCTGGTGCAGTTACTCAGTGATCCCTTCTACAGGACTCTGGAAGGTTTCCGAATGCTGGTGGAGAAGGAATGGCTCTCCTTTGGTCATAAATTCAGTCAGCGCAGCAATCTGACCCTCAACTGTCAGGGCAGTGGATTTGCTCCTGTTTTCTTACAGTTCTTAGACTGTGTCCATCAGGTAAGCCCATCTCTAACTTCCACTTACCAGAAGGTTTCATGAAGAAATGTGTATATTCCAATATTGCAGATGTTATGGATGCAGGTTTGGGAGAAGACTACTAACATTATTCAAACATCAGGTTTTTTAAAGTGGATGGAATTCACCTCAAGGGGAGCTGGAATGTTTGTCTAGAGGAGACTGACCCAAAGCAGACTCAGAGGGGTGGTTGGTAGTACTGATCTATTGAGGTAATTTGTGTAGAGATTTCAATTAGAAGGTTTTTAAGCTATGACTGGCTTTTTTAAAATCCTTTATTCAGAAGGAAGAAGGGACTTATTTCTAGTACCTTGACTAGACAGTTTTTAATTCTTTGTGCCTAATGATGAGCCTTGAAGAGAGCTTGTACTATACCAGTTCTGGAAACAGTGACAGCTATAAACCAGGGGTTCTTAGATGTTCTGATTTTTATGTCTGGTCCATGTCCAGAAGAAGATGGACACCAACAGTTGTGTTGTGTAGCAAGAAATTAAGTTAAGACAGTTATACTCATTTTGGGTTAATTCTGAAGTCTGTCCTTTCCTTCATCTCAAACCGTTAAATGTAAATTCTTTGAACAGATTCTGTGTATGGAAACATAAGAGGGGTTTTTGCATAGTTCCTCTTGTACATGTGTGATTCTTTCCCCACTTCTCTGATCTTTCTCACTGAAAAAGCTGGAGGTTTCCTTGACATTATTTACATGTGTTAAAATATATGGATGACTATGTATCACAGAAAATAACTGTTAAAGCACCAGCCTTTTTACTGGGAACACACATTGACAGTGAACACTTGCATGAAAGAGGAGTCTCTGTAGTTTTACTCTGCTACCTGGAGAAAACTCCACAGATGAAGTAACTTACTAAAGCAGTGGAAAGCAATCTTTAGATATATCTGTGTGAGATTGATAATGAATGTGCTTACAAGAAGATGAGTGACAAACATGTTATGGAAAAAGTCCCCAGCTTTGTTGGTATCCCAATGTAAACACCAACAGCCATCATTATTGCTATCTCAGAAGTTAATAAATCAAATTCTTGGACTTTACATTGCCTTCCCCTTATGGAAACCTTAGAAATATTTGTCACATCTTCTGTTTCATCCATTTCCCAGTGGCTGTGGTCGTAAGGTTGTTTTTTATTTGAAACTGGGAGATTTCTCAAAAGAGAATCGGTACTCTTTATTTTTTGTTAAAATAAGTTAATCTGCCCAAATGTCACACTTTTTCTTACAATAAGCTTAGGGTTATTGCTCCTTTTCTGAAATAGAAAAAAACCAACATATTCTTGGTTGCAATGGCTACAACAGGGCAAAATTGCCATGTGCTCTAATACTGAAACCCATCTGCCTGGTGGTCCATTCACTTCTGAAAATGAATAATTTGTGTTGGTCATGGTGCTGTGTTCTCTCTGCTTTCAGGTGTCTTCTCTGAGCTTAAATTGGCTGATTGGCTAACACCATCCATTAGTAGGATGGAGTAAACCTACCTCTGATTTTAAGCAGTAGTGTAAATTTGAAGTGAATCCTTCCTGCACCTCCCCTTAAATTTTTTTGATGCTGATGTGGTGCATGTGTACTAGATTTTTTGGGAGAAAGAATTTAAACTTGCACCAATGATTTGTCACTTAGCTTAAAACCATTTGGGTCACCAGTGTAAAGTGGAATCATCCACTCAACTGGACTAAATTTAGTCCAGGTAAAGCCACAGATGTGCAGTATGCCTGCAGGGAGCTTCAGTCAGTTTGTCTCCTCTGAGCTGCTTCTGACTGCTTGCTAATGCAGACATAGCCTACATCCTGTTCCTGCCCCTGGAAATACTTCAGTTTTACTGTAATAGATCTTAGAAAGTTGTCATTACAAAGAAATTATCCACACATACCCGTGCAGTATTTCTTTCTCAAGTGATTCAGAGATGACACAGATTTTGGAGACAAATGGATTATCCAGAATAAAGTTAAAAATTAAATTCAAGGATTTGGGTTTATTGTCATGAAATAGAATGGACCATGTTTTCTTCACGGCAGAATTCTTGGGTTTTCCTTTAAGTTATGTTTAACAAATCCTACACTTCTAAGGACATGGAGTAGTGAATTATAATCATCCCACCTTTACAGGTTAGAATGAAATGCAAAGTGGGATAAATCCCTGCTGTTGAAAACTGTCAGGTACAATTTCACCTCAGGCTGCACACACGTGAATGTGTCAAGGAAATACAACATTACCTTTGTAATTCACCTCAGGTAGCAGCTTTGGTGCCACTCAGCAGGTATCTGACTTTATCTTATGAAATATACAGGTTATTAGCAGATACATTTTAAATTTCAGTGTTTTCTGCTTTGTGAGTTTAAGCTGTGTGCACATCCCCATCAGGAGCTATTCACTGCTGCTCTGGTGGAGATAGCATCCTTTCAGCCTCTTAGCTCAGGGCTTCTTGGGAGCCTGCCTGCTTTTCCCAGCCAAAATGTTGGGAAAAATTTGGTAGAAAAGACCATTAGAAGCAGTCCAGCTTTTCCATCTGAAGGAGACATAACTTCTTGTGAAGAAAGAGAAGGCTGTGTAAGGGTTATAATTGTTTTACCCAGTGTTATCTTTATCCAAGACAGGGCATGGGGAGCATAATCAGTCCCATATAGATAATACAGACTTGCCTGTAACCTAAACAGCCTACAGTCCCATGGGGAGTGCAATTCTAGAATTTTCTAGAACTAGAGTTAGATTATTCTTCTAACTCGTGATGATGGCATAGTAGTGAGTTACCAAATTCTAACAGTGTGGTTGTGATTTCTAGGGAAATTGATTTTGAAGTCAAATTATTGGTTGGATTTTATTATGAATTTACCATAAAGTTTTTGCATCTGTACTTGAAAATTTTTGGGAAGTTTCATTGGTTTCTGTGCAAATTCTTACAGAATCCAATTAGATTGCAACTTGACCCTGAAGTGTAATATATTATGATCAGTTTTTAAAATTTACCCATTAACTGGAAGCAAACATTTGGTCCTTTCAAAGTATTTTTAACCTTTAGAATCCATACACTGGGTGCAGTAAGAGAATTACCACTGAGCCAGTACATGCATTAAATGTCATGTGTTAAACTAAAGATACAGAGAAAACAAATGAAGCAGTGATTCCTAAATTAGAACTGCATCATCTTATAAAAAGTCATTGTTTATGCCAATATCTCCAGGTGTCAGCTGAATTATTAATGCAAAATCAGTCTTTCACAATAGCAGCATCTGGCAGATACTTTCCCTGCTTCTAAGGAGACTGAGTTTATGCAAGTGATGTCAGTGAGGAAGCTTTCCTTATTTTTCTTCGGAATCTATGTGGTAATTTATTAAATATAATTAAAACAGGATGATTTTCTAGAGCTGACATCTTTCAAGCTCAGTGAGGAGCTGTCACAGTGCCCTTTGTAAGAGGAGGTGAGTGCTGCTCCCACGGGAGACGTGCTCAGTTATTCCAGGGGTTGCAGCCTCGTAGCCATTACCAGCACAGGAGCTTTGGAGTGGTATTTTCCTCATTCATACTAATTAACAATTGATATATCATGGAATTAAAAAGCCAAAATGTATTAGAAAGCTAAGGAAGGCTGATAGATCTATAATATTAATAATTAATTAATAATATTAAATACATTTAGGAGATACTTCAGCGAGAGCATGGTCATTTTAAAAAGAGCTCCAAAGTGCTGAGTTTCTCTAATCATAATATTAGAAAGACATACAGGTTTAATCAGGGTTTAAATGTTCATATATTTTGGAGATTAAGACAACAACAATTACTGCATTGTTTACCTCTATCAGAAATGCTTTATAGCTGTTTTCTCTTTAAAACTAAATTATATTATAATAACTTATAGTTATTACAATATTTCTGCATCCAGAAATCTCAGAAAGGGAATCACCCATAAAATTTAGGTCTATGACAAGATTTTATCAGCAGCTTGTTCTTGTAACTCTTACATGGATTAAAATAATTGTTGGACCATAAGTAGAAGTTAAGACCCTGTATATATTTCATGTCAAATAGCAGAATGTTGCCTTTCCTTCTTACAGTATATTAAAAAAACCTTCTCCTAACACAAGGAGAAAATATGTACTAAAGAAGATATGGAAAAATAACTTTTTTATAAATAAAGCTAAATATTTGTCTATAAAATTGAAGTCCTAAATTTATTATAGAAAAAAAATTGCTTAGCTTTATTGTTACAAATCAGTGCAGGAATGTAGTATTTGTATCAGGGGGAAAATGGGGATTAAATAAGAGTGGGTATGTTGAACTGACATGTCTTAAAGTATCTCTTAGCACTTTAAATTCCCAGCCCCAAGATAATATTGAGATATAATAACAGCAATTCTCTGACTGAAATGCTGTGTGGGTGTTTCTAGGTCCTTTCAAGGGATTTTCCTGTCACTGTTGTATGTTCAGGAGAAAACCTCTCCTTGCCTGACACTTTTTGCCCCTTTATTTGGCTGGTCTATGTGGAAATCCAAATGTAAGGAGTTTCAAATAATCTTCATAACAGTTCCCATCAGTACTGAAAAAGCCCCATTGAGTCACTGGCAAGTTAAGAAACTGATAAGAGATTAGAGAGAAAATCTGGAACAGGAAAGTGAGTGGTGGGAATGCAAAAGACAAGGCACAGATTGCAGAAGTAAAGGTGTCTTCCAGGTTTGATGTGAGACATCAAACAGTGGGGCTTATTTCAAATGTGAAATTCAGAATCAGCAGTTTCTTTTTCAAATGCAAGGTATACTTATTTCCACTGCAATTGGGAATTTTCAGGTAATTGCCATGTTTATTCTGAAAGTAAAGATCATGAGTCATAAACTTACTTGAAAAATAAATTTTAAATTAACTCATGAAATTTCTCCAAGCACTATCTCATCAAGAGTTTTAGAATCTTTCATTTTATATGGATATCAAGTATAAATATCAGTAACTAATGCTAAATTTTTTTGCCATGAATATTAAACTTCATGCTTAAATTCCTACATCAGGCTCTTTATGATAATGTTAAAAAGAAGCAGCTGTGAAGAATCAGCCATTTCACAGTGCTCTACTCTGATAATCTTGTATAGTTTTCTTAAATAAATATCAGCTCCTGACTCACGTTGGAGACATTCACTGAATCAGACAGATCCACAGCCTAATGAGGGTAACAATTTAAGGAATGACATGGTTTTTACTGTTTTAAAATAATAATGGCAAGACACCTCCTCAGTGTGGGGTCTTTTTCATATTCTAGTATTTTAGGTCATATTTTGAAAAGGAAGAGATATGTGTAGACTAGTAAGTACTTGAGAAATTGGCTGTTTCAGGGTGGTAGATGGAATGTCCTTTGCAGCATTGTCTCTTTAATTGTCTGCCTTGTGGGGCTCTGAGCAATAGCAAGAAAACCAATTTGAAACCTTTCAGTTAAAGTTTGAATTCCAGCCACACCCAGGAGTAGCATCTTTACCTGAGAAGTAACATGGTGACTGAAGAATTATCATAGAAATTTTATATCCAGTTGGATTTCCTGGAAGAATCATGGGGTTTGTACAGAGTATAATTTTGCTGATTACACAGTTCACTCTATCAGCTCTGAAATGTTTTTGCAGCATAGACAATACATTAATTTATGACATGACATGATATATAATCTATGACAAAATGTTAGAAGGATTTTTGCGACACTTGCAATTTGTTTTCAGCATTCATGGGGGAATTGTTTTGCTGTCATTTCACTTTATTATTTCTTACATATCTCTTTGTATTATACCTCAATATCCACTTTTTTCCTTTTTTTTTCTTTATTTTTTTAATTTTATTTTTTAGATTCATAACCAATACCCGACAGAGTTTGAGTTCAATCAATATTATCTGAAGTTTCTGGCTTTTCATCACATATCAAATCGATTTAAAACATTTCTTCTGGATTCAGATTATGAAAGACTAGAACATGGTATGTGTGATCTTTGTGTATTGCATATTGCTTTTGTAGTTGCTGATATTTTTCTCCTCAATATTTGGTCTACAAAAGTTTGCCAGGGTTAAGGTGGTCCAGTAGCTACGTGGTGACCACGTAAGGATCATCACATTTCAGATCTAGAAAGCAAAATGGAAGTGAGAAATATGTAATATTTTCTGCTTCAGTGATTCCTGTGCCATGCCTCTGATGGCCCTGAGAGAAAGTGCAGGAAATTAGTGCCATGCCTCAGGGTTTTTAGCAATTTTTCCACATAGATCCATTTTCCCTACTAAATACCTTCTTTTAACAGAAACAGAATCTCTGTGAATCCATCAGAGAGTGCATAAAGTTGCAGGAAAGAAAAGCCTTTCCATCTATTACCTCCCCCTTCTTCCTCTTGCATTATCTTCAGAGTTTCTCTTTTTATATTTTCTGTTTCACTCCATCTGTCATGTGCAACCTTTCTGCTCCCAAGGCCTTAGCTGCCCTCAGAGCCACCTTCCTGGGGCTGCATAACCACAGCTGAGGCTGCTCTTGGGACTTGGCCACTAAAACATGCTCCAAATTTCTCTGCTTTGTGGGCTGCTTTCATGCCATATGATCAATTTTAATGCTTTTCGTGAAAACTGTGGTAGCTGTGGGGCAGATTAGACTTGAGCAACCATTTCATTCCAAAATATGGTTCATTTCTATTACTTATCTTCTTTATTTCCTGTTGCGGTGGCATTTAATAGCAGACTTTGCTATACATTCAATCTGTGAAATTCCTTTAGCCTGTGCTTTACCATTTGTTGAGCATTATCAAAAAGCCATTCTTTTTGCTGCTCTTCTTTTCCCCAGGAACATTATTTGAAGATAAAGGAGATAAGCATGCCAAGAAAGGAATTTGTATTTGGGAATGTATTGAAAAGATGCATAAAAGGAGCCCTATTTTCTTCAATTACCTCTATGCCCCTGCTGAAATCGAGGTATGATTTTTCTTAGAATACAGGTGGTTTGTTATTCTGAGTGATTCCTTGAGTACATTTTGATATCTTAATTGTTCTGAACCAAGTTAAGTATTTGGTGGACAAAATTGACCTTACCTGATTGATTGGAGCAGTGTCTGAAAGTCATGGAAATGTAATTTAAAGGGCCAAATTTTGCAACATGTATTCATGCACCCTGGTAAACTAAATGAGGTTCCTTCTTTGATTTCATTACATTATATAAATTATTATTAAAATTGTCTTTAAAGGGGAACTGACTTTAGTCATTGACCTTAGAGTCATAATGGGATGCATTTCATAATCTGATTGAATCACGTCATCTTCATCTCTGTCTTCTATGATAGTGTCTGTCCCCTAGACTGGGCTGTGTCTTGAGTAATTTTAGAAAATTCACAGTACACTCACCATTGTAGAATTCAGTTTAGAACAATCTGGAAAATACAGGTATAGTGCTGTAAATCTTAAATTCAAAGGCTTTCTTCGTGTCATTGTAATAACACTTTGTTTCAAATAGGCACTGAAGCCAAATGTAAATATGTCCAGCCTCAAAAAGTGGGATTATTATGTAGAAGAGATTTTGGCTACAGGACCTTCCTATGATTGGACCATGGTACCTGCAAAGTGCAGTGTTTCAGAAGAAAATGACCAAACAGATGGTTCAGTCTCTCAGAGTAAGAGGAAAATAGTGTGGCCGTGTTATGATGATGTAAAAAAAATACAGCCTGATGCCATCACCAGCCTTTTAAATGTGAGTACTTGTGTTGCACAGAACAGTAAATTCTGTTATGCTCACAAAATTCATGTTTAATTTTTATTGAAGTTATTGCCTTACAGACATACTGTTATTAAAAGGATCATGATAGATGTCAAAACAACTCTTTAGTAAGACTGACTGGATGATCTGGAGATGTGATGCTGGTTCTGGGAATCAATCAGTCTTCCTTCAAAGCTGATGATGTTCTGAATTCACACTTCCCCTGGAGTGTGCTTTAGTTGTAGTCAATAACTCCTCGTGGATTCATTTTTTCACTGTCTGCTTTAAAGAATAAATAAAATTTTAGGTTGCCTTTTGTAGGAAATGCAGGAACAGCTATTTTCATTTGGGCAAATGGTGAATCTTGCTTTCTTGACCTCTTTCTCCTCATATTAAAGTAGGTGTGTGGTAAAATAACGACCCAGTGTCTTGGACAGATCAGAAAATAGAATCTGACACTTGTTGATTTTAATTGGGAAGCAGATACACAAACATTAGCTCAGTATTGGCCCACATTTCTCAAAAAAGCTTGCCATGATTGCTCTTAGTTTATTCATGTTTACTGGAACCAAACTGATAAATTTAGATTCTTTGAAATATTTTGTTACTTGAAATAGATGCTTGATTTGGGCTTTTTCTCGTTCGGGCTCACTTAGGTTGCTTAGGTTTTGTCCTTTCTTCATTAGAAGATGAAAAATGATCCCATTATCATCATTGTTGTAGTTATTTAGAGTGATTTAACATCTGTCCTCTCTTCAACGTGAAGATACTCGATGATTACAATTAATTAACAGCCTGACGTTTGGTTATCATCATAATTGACAGTGCAAGAAAATGACCAGGGCATTCTTCACTTCTATTGTTTCAAGCCTCTTGTATGTCCAGAAACACATCCCTGTGTTTTATTTTGGAAATGTTTTATTTTGAAAACTCTTTGCAGACTTTACCTTATATTAAAGCTGGGATTATGGAGCCCACTATTCCAATGCTTGGAAAATCAGGATATGCTGTAGGCCCCAAATTCTCCTGAATCAGTGATGATTTTTTGCAAGTCTTAATGCAGGAAACTTCTGAATGGATGTGAATCCTTGAAGATTTTGATAGAGAGTTAGCTTTATTCTGGCACATTCCTCAAATTCCTTTTGGTCTGCTCCTTCCAATCCTAATTGATCAAACAAAGGAGCAATGCCCAATAAATGTAATAATAAATAAAGAGAATCTAATGTAAAAATCCCCCTTGACTCAAAATAAGTCAGAATTTCTCAGAGCTTCTAACCTGCCAGAAGCAAAGGAAGAGCAGCCTCTCAGCAAGGGTCATTTCAGGGATTTTTCAGCAAAGCACAGAGAGCTTTTGTATCAGGTAACCAGAGCCAGAAGCACATCAGGAGCACAACAGTGTTCTCCTGCATTTCTTCCCGGGGTAGATGCCAGACAATCCACATCCACAACTGTGAGAAACTGCCATATAACAGGGAAACTGCCATTCTATAGGCTAAAGATACGTGGGTCAGGTTTTATAGAGTTTAAATGTTATTTGTGAATTAGATTATAGTAATAAAAGATAGCAATGGAGAGAACATTTGGAAAACTTTGGAGAGGTTGTATAAAGGTTACAAAAATATTCTTCTAAGTTTAAAAAGCAAAGTGAACTTTCTTTTAAAACAAGTTGTTAATTTAGGGCTATTGCTGATGTAGGAGAAAGACCTCTCTTTAATCATAAATCCACTGAGAATGTGTTGGTATCCAAAAAATGTTTCAACTGAGACCATATTTAGCATCATAAATTACTGGGGAAGATTGATTCTCGCTTAGTTTATAATGATAAGCCCAAATTTGTTTGTTCTAAAGATATTTTTCAATTGAAAACTAGATAGTGCGCTTCAGGATGTAAAGGTGAAACAGAGAAGTTATTGAGTGCCTTAATTCAGAATTTTCATGGTAGAATGTGATGCTTTTCTTTTAAGAGCAGATCAGATTCTGGTACCTGTAAGAATTGTGAGAAATGAACCTGTGTGCATTCACAGACACATTGTGGGTGCAGAGGAGGTGATCAGTCTCCAGACTTCTGGAGCTCCTGCAGATGTAACTCCTGTCTGTAACATTCAGATATTCCCAAAGCAGGCTATTCAGCAGATCTTCTGAAAGGCACAGTAATGCTAATTGCTTGTTATTAATTGCAGGAAATGGATAGTCTCATAATTGAATTTGTTAAAACCTTTCTAACCTTTCTTTTTATATACATATATATTCTCCTCTAAGCCTGGACAACAGGAGATGAACCAGAGAGATACATTTAAAGATTTATTTTTTTTCTTTCAAGGAAATGCATCTACTCAGAGTCCATTCCACACATGGAAAGGAAAAAAAAATCGGCTGCTTTTTGTAAAATTGTAAAATGAAGAGGCAAGAGTAAATTTTAGTGATTTATTGCCATGTATGGTTTTTTTACATGAGGTCTATTAAAGGAGAATTTAGTCCTAACTTTTCAAGTTATATACAGGAGATTGTTGAAGGTTTTTCATGAAAGTTTTTCATTTTAAGTTCTGGAAGCACTACTCGCTGTGGAGCCAAAAAAGAAGGAATGTGACCCAGTTGCTAAGTAACAAGTTTCAGTTACTTCCAGATTCTGCAGAGAAGGACTCGTACTCAGAAGTCAAGACTAGGGCAGAAAGAGAGAATGATCAGATTAAACTGACTAACACAGAGCAATAAAGAGTTTATATCCTTTTGCAGCAATTTGGAAATAATGTTACTTTTTAAAATGTGTGGTAAATGGATTCTGTTGTATGCCTCCAGAAATGTTTTCCATTCAGCACTTTCAAAGACAAGTAATCTAGAGAAGGCTTTAGCCTGGCTTGTGTTCATCATTCCTTATTTTTTTATCTACCTGAAGATACTCCAAACAAAAGTATTCTGGTTTTATTTCTTAGCAGAAAGAGAGCAAATGTGACTTTCATACCTTCAGCATTTAAAACTTCTTGTCTGATTCTTGCTGTTAAGCCACATTTCTTATATTTAGTTTCACTTTGGAGTTTTCTAGTTTACTTTCAGGGAGGAAAAGTTTGTAGAAAATTTTATAGAAACGTTGTCAAATGCTGGCTTTTTATTTTCACCTAAGAGTTCAAAATGTAGTTCAGAAGTTAATTTCCTTATCAAAATGTTTTCTTAATTTAAAAGTATAATAATTTTCTGTCTTTCAATTAATAGCAATTTCCTGAAAAAATTTTCAATCAAAAGACCAATAGAAACTGGACAATATTATGAAGTCTACTTAAATTATTAGGTAGGGTAGAAGTAAGTAGAGATTTACTTTCTCTACTTTGAAAATAAATGTCTTAAGTGTTTAGTTGTCATCTATATAGCATGGGAAGCCTGTCCAGTGGCAATTTTTTATTCCATCATTAATTCTTAATTGAATTTGAAAAATTGAGGTTTTAATTTTATTTAATTAATAAGGAGATTTTCATAACAATATGGTTGTTGAAAGTAAAAATGGAGAAAAGAAGCATGGCAAGGAATATGGACCACACTTCAAAGTCTTGACAAATGTATCAATGAGTGTTCACAAGTAAACATAAACTCATAAAATTGCCTCTTTTTACTTAACTTTGCACTGTTTTATTAACAGGAAATAACCCTAACTGGAGGTTATCAACATAGGTCATATTCCCAAGTTCCACAACAAGAACATGTTGTTACAGTTTGGCATCCAAATTGAATAAATCTTTCTGTTTCATTTCCTTCTTTTATTACAGCTTTGTATCACATTTTATAAACCAGGGTAAATGTTAATATTGGCCACTGTACAATGTTGGTGTCACAGCACAGAATTTGTTCTTTGTAAATATTTTCATAAAATACAGCCTGTCCTTATCAGTGTTGTGTTTCTGTTAGGGCAGTGGGTGTTGGATTTTGTGTGTTCAGGAGAACTGGGGGAGAACTGAAATCCTGGTGGCTCCTCCTGGGAAGAGCAATGTGGCTGATGCTGGCCTTGGGTGCCTTTGACTCCTGATTCTGATGGATCTCAGTTTATTCCTCATTTGACAGAGGGGTTTGAGCTTCACTGGGTGAAAACACTGGCTAGAGAATGGTTGTTTCAAAATGATTAGGGAGTGATCAGTTAGAAATGTTTATGCTTAAAACCCTTGTTACTTGTTTCAGGAAATCGAAAGGTTGGAAAGTAAATTAAACCAGAGCCCAGAGAGGTGGCAGCTGTTGTGGGAAAGGGTCAAAATTAATCTAAAGGATGACACCAGACAAGACAATGTAAGTAGAAAAGAGCTTGTCCAGTAGAACAATTCCATTCCTGCTGTATAGGCTACCTGAGGCACTGACAAAATCACTGTATTTCTTGGAGTAAAAGACTGCTTTTGAAAAACTGAATATGTTGTTCTAACCCATGATATTGGCTTTTTCTTTCTTCGTGTTGAAAAATATATTTTTACTTGTGCTGTTTATCTAGTTGCCTTTCCAGAGTAGTTTAAATCACGGATAAAATGAGCATTTTACTAATGCACAAATATATGGTTTTGTATATTTAAAAGATTCTTGAAGTACTAAAAAAGCTCAATTCCTGAAAGTAGCCAAAAGGATATCACAAATTCTCAGAGAAAAGTCAAGATATTTCCATGGCTAAATGAAGATATAGTTTCTAAGCAGAGATAAGAAATATTCATGCTCTTGTGTCCAATTCCTGACCATGGTAACAAGAAGAGCTGTCAATATAGATATTTTCTAAGTGAAAGGCTGCCTCTTTGCTCTCTGTGTGCACCAGGAGTAATCCTAGATACAGCTTTTGGGGAGCTTGGCTTCTGTGCTTTGCACAGTGAGTTAGCAGTTCAAGACTGTATCTGTAGAGTGTTGTCATTTAGATTAAGACCAAGTACAGGATCCCTCTTGTTCCAGTTCATTGAGATTCTACTAAAATTACATGGATCTGTAAATTAGCTCTTGGAAGGTGTAGTTTTTCCTTTTCCCCCTTCCTCCCTTTGAAATCAGGAAAATTTATTGTGCCCAAATCTCTGTTTAGTTTTAGATGCTTCTGAGAAAGCAAGGCAAACACTGTTCAGGATTATGTCACTTCATATATTATATGAAGCTTTTCTGGAATGCTGACTTCTCACACCTTGTGAACCCTTCTGCCTAAGAAATGCAGAGAATTGCCATCCCTCTGGCTTCTTCTCTGAGGCAGCACTGACTTGTATTAGGAAAATCTTTCTTTGGCCTCACAGTAGTTCCCAAGTTACCTGTTGCACCATGTGTTTATTTATTGTCAGTACAGCACTGAGCCTATCTCACAATACAAGACACATTGCATTACCCTTTTTCTTCTCTTTCCCTCTTTTTCAGCTCCGGAGACATCCTTCTGGCTCCTCAGGGATGATGTCTCCTAATCTGCATTCCTATCAAAAGAGGTCTTTGTTGGAAATACCTGACAGTGGGCTGGGTGAGGAGCAGAGTTCAAGCATCTCTCCCTCTAATGGGGTAGACAGAAGAACAACGACGCTGTACAATCATTTCACATCAAAGAATGATGAAAATAGGTAAACTGAATAATCATTTTATTTATGAGTATTTTATTAGGTTGGTACAAGTCTCTGCCTTAGGAAGAAATGAAACTTTTATGCTCACAGAACATTTTGTGGCTACCTTATTCCTTCTTTTTGGATTTGATTACATTAGTTGTTTAGTGGGTGGGCCTCTTCTGTCTCCTACCAGCATCCTTCACCCTTCTCTTTCCTTAGATGCACAAGCCAATTGCAATTGTACATTTAATGGATCCCAAGTACCAAAAGGGTTTTTTATCTGTGCATCACAGTTACCAATAGCTAAACTATTGGTTTAAATCTTACTAGTTTTCCTGCAGGAAAATAAGTGTTTAGTATGAATGTAGTAAGTGTTTAATATTAATGTAGTAAATGTTTAATATCTATCCTTTTGGGGGTTTTATTTCTCAGTGGTATCCATATTATGGAATCACATGCTGCTGTGTGTTCTGTCCCTCTCAGATCTTTTGAAGGTACGCTGTACAAAAGAGGAGCTTTGCTGAAAGGTTGGAAACCTCGCTGGTTTGTGCTGGATGTGACAAAACACCAGGTAAAACCTTTCCAGATAATGGAATTTTTTATTATTATGTTGCTTCTTTTTTGTTTATTGAGTTTTTATAGATTGGTCTTACAAACAACGTTAGTAATGATGGTTTTCAGGTGTGATCTGTGCTACATCATTCATAACATATCAATGTTTGTCTTATGTATCTTGTGGCTGATACAGAATTCTGAGTGGATGGAGGGGGTTTCGTATTTGGCCTTTTATTTTTAAGAAAAAAACATATAGGAGTATTTTATAAAAAATATATGAGAGGATTTTAAAAATATATAGTATTTTAGATTAGTCAGAGTACTGTAAATTTAGTAGCAGAATTATTCATAAGTGTTCTACCTAATCACTGTACAAAAGGAGCACTAAAAATAGACATCTGTTGGTCTAAACCTTTTATCCAATTTACAATGAACTCCAGAATTCTGCAGTAGAAATTTATGATCTTGTGCACTTCAAATAATGTTGGGTCATCAGGCAGTAAAATGTTCTGAGCCAAATATTCCACAAAGTGGGGGTTCTAACTTCTCAGACTCATGTATGCTTTTGTTTAAAAAAATATTAATTCATTTTAGTCAATACATTTTAAAATGTGCAGTATAGATAAAGACAGGCATCTCTTGAAATGCTAATTGAGTACTTGGAGATCAGTGTGGTAAATACCAACAAATGTGCTGTTCATAATTATTCTTCCTAGTATATCTTATGTATCTTGTGTATAGGGAAAAAGGTTCATTTTGCAGGACAACAAGATATTTTTACATTTTTTGTATAACCAAAAAACCTTCTGAGTATGAAAGATGCAGGAGTAATACAGGTCAATCCTAGCTGGAGTTCTGTTATTTGACTTTTGCTGTGAAAGTTTATGTTGCTATTTTGCACTGGCTTATGGGAATTTGTTGGGGTTTTGTTGTTGGGACTTTTTTTTGGAATTTGTTTGCATGTTGAAACTCAGTTTACAGAGTGTTTAATATTTATATCAAATCATTTCATATCACATCATTTTTTTCTCCTTTGTAAGGAGAAAAAAAAAGCACAGACTTCATTCAAACTCTATGTGCAGTACAGGAAAATGTGAGCTTTGTGTGGTTTATAGTTACCTAAAATTGCACTTAAATTTCTGCTGATCACTTTAAATTCTTGAAATGCAGAGAATAAGTGTTCTATCAATGCCTCAGTGAAGTTTCATGTAATGACCAGTGAAGAAAAGGCTCTGCTTTCTTTCCTGCCTCACATGCCCTCTGCCCAGAGCAATCCATTGTTATTTGCTTCTCTCCTCTGGAGCTCTGGGGACAAAATACTCTTCCCCCACCTCCTCAGCTCTTAGTAATCTTTGTGCCTCCCACCCTTAGCAGTGAATGCCCCCAGGCTTTATCCAGGAAAAGGGAATTAATCTGAAAGGTCCATCTAAAAGCAGTGTGGATTTTTTTTTTCTCTCGTGTTCCAGCTGCGATATTATGACTCTGGTGAGGATACGAGCTGTAAGGGACACATAGACCTTGCAGAGGTGGAAACTGTGATTCCTGCTTCTCCAACAATTGGAGCTCCAAAACATGCCAGTGAAAAGGCATTTTTTGATGTAAGTATATCTGGTCTTTATGTGAAACTTCCTTCCCTTGTGTTTTTAAGCTCCTGCTCCCAGTCCTGCGAGAAGGTGTGAGCTAGGAAGGAGCTGTTGTGCCATCTCAGACAAAAAATTTTATGTAGCTGGCATCACTCTCAACAGCAATAGTTCAAAAATGATACATTCAGACCATGAGCACACTGAGTATTGCAGTTTATTGCAGGTTTTCTTTTCCATGTGCTGACTTCTTTGTGTCCTTGTTTTTCCTTTGCAGCTGAAGACAAATAAACGTGTGTATAACTTTTGTGCCCAAGATGCACAGAGTGCTCAACAGTGGATGGACAGGATCCAGAGTTGCATTTCAGATGCATAGAAAGGAGAAAAATGTTCCATGATAAAGTCCCATTTAAAGCACCTCATCCTGGAAGAAACTGAGTTCTGGAATGTTACTGACACACAACCCGCCTTCCTTACATTTCAGCCATTAAAGTTCATAATAAGTTCTTTTCTGTTTAATAATTATAACCACTGTAACTGTTATTTTTTTTATTTTCTTTCTGCAGGAGGGACTTGGAAAAATAATAATCCATTTATCCTGAATTTGCTCTTTTTTTTCAGTACAATTCCTAGCTATAAAAGTGGGCTGTATTTGCACTAGCATCTGATCCCAGTTTTCTCAATTCAGAGCTATTATTTTAGAAAACCTGTCCAAAAGGAAGTGTAGAAATTTTCCCTTCAGCAAGAAGTGTATTTCCACTTGATTTAGATTTTTAAGTAGAATGTTCTTATTTCCAAGCCAGTCATGAATAAGAGGGAACATGCCTACAATTCCTAAAAACAAATAAAGAAATGAAGCTTGTGAGTCCAGTGACACACACACCAGGTTGCCAATGTTTATAGACAGTCGATACTTTTAAAGACCAAAAAAAAGTGAAATTGCCTGATGCCAGACTTTCAAGTGTCTTCTCAGTGTGTGGGTCATTCTCTAATTTCGTGCTCTGCTGAGTGCTTCTGCAATGTTGTTGTTATGGAATTTCAAAACCTAGGGATTACCTGGAGACCAGAGATAGCACTTTTTATTTTAGATTCTATTTGCAATTCCAATGGGATAAACGAAAGAAAACTGGCTGACACTACCCTGGAGCAAAACAACAAACTAGGAATTCAGTAGAAGGAGGATCTCGTGTGTGTGAGTTGTATGTGTTAATTTATATGCTGTTCTGCTCACTGTAAAATAAAAAATAACAAACATGATAATGCACTAAACAATGAAGCAAGCACTTGCACTGAAGTCTTTACAATGCAGACATTTTGCAGGACAGAGGTAAGTTATTTGTAGCAGAACAAAACAAAACTAGCTAGTTAACAGCATTTACAGATATTAGATATGTACATAATCAAGTTTGAGGTGTTGTGATTTGATACTTTTTAAACATTTTTTTGCACATTAATTGGAAGACTGTTTATAGATTTTTACTTTTGATGAACTTGTGTTTGTTCTGCTTAAAATCCTGGCAAAACATTTTTAATAGCCCCAAATTAGTTGAAATTTTACAGTCTACGAATAATGAGGACTTTGAGTAGAATATGTAGGTAATTAAGCCATTGTTTTTACTTTGAAATGTTAATATGTTAAATAGCACACTAATATTACAAAAGGTCTGTATATATGATTCACTATTTTCTCATTTTTCCAGATGTTCTGCTTGTAATTTAATGTCAGCCTAACCAAACTGACTGTACTTACAAGATTTTTCAGTTATTAAACTTTGTGGGTTTTTTTATAACTAATGTATTTTGTCAGAAAAGAACATAGATTTCTCACCACACACAATAGGAAATGCAGCTGTTTTTAATGCATTTGCAATTTCAAAACAAAAATATGAAGGATTTTTCTAGCATTTTTCAATTGACAAATTTCCACCTGTGACAATGGTGTTTGCACATTTGTATTTTTCTTTGTATATGAAGTACTTTTATATGTACTTTGTAAAATACTGATCCTGTTCTTAGGTTATATGAAGATATACATACCACTGTTTATTTTGTAACTGGTTAATTTTAACGCGTGTATGTTATGTGATATATGTATGCTAACCATCTTGTAATAAATACACTCCTTAAGGAAAAGTAAAAACTTTCCTTTTACTGTAAAAGAGGAAAAAAAGAAAAGCAAGACCCACCTGTTGAAATATTCCACGGGCACAAGACAAATCCTTATTTACTCTGTATTAAGAATAGTGGGTGTATTCAAAACTATGTGGTCTTTTGTATACTTGTAAATATTCTTACCTAAAAGTTGCACTTGGGCATCCCTAACTCAAACACTTGTCAACAGTAACACTGAAGAAATCAGAATTTAAAGCAAAATTATCATTCTAACAATTCTCAACATACAGCCTTTACCAAAAGGCTAAATATGTGTAATGTCCATACTAAAGTCATTGAATAATGATGTTAAATGTATTTTTTAAAAAAAAAGGATTCTGTACGGTATCGCGACGTAAGTCAACTGCATACTTTCACCCTGAGGCGTATCTCACTCGTGTCACCTTGTGCAAAAAAGGTCTTGTTCCTAAAAAAGAAACTATAAAAAAAGAATAAAAAACACAAATGGCAAGGTCTTACTTGAGACTGTGCATCAGAATGGAATTCCAATGTTGATCTCAGTTTTTAGTGTCTGTATTGATGGAAAATGGACTTGAGCAACTTAAATTAAAAATACCCAAATAAAAGCTGAAATGAGAGGCGTGGTGTTTGTGGTGTCTGTGTAAGGAATAGACAAGTTTGAGGTGTCCCTGAAGGCCTCTCTGCAAAATGAAGATTCCAACAGAGACCTGGAGAAAATGTGGACGAGTCAGCATAGCTTCAGCTACGGGGTTTGCCAGAGTGTTTGAGTTGTATCAGCAGCAGCAGAGAATTAGGAACTGAGAATTAGGAAAAAATGCTGTGTACAAAGGGATTCAACTTCATATTCCATGAAAATTTTCTAGAAAGATCCACCCAGGAGATGGAGATGAGCAGAGGTGCTCCCTCTGCTGTGTCACATCACTATTCCCACAGTGTGCATCACAACATTCCTCCTGTGGAAAAGAGAATTACAACATTCCGAGTCTGGCATGAGGGGAGAGGATTGTTTGCCCTTCTCTGTGTTCAGTAACAAAACATCCACGGCGTAGGTGGAGGAATGAAGCGAGTTTAGGCTTTGAAGAGTTGTTAATGGGGTATTATATCAGTGATTTTCCTATCTAACAAGTGTTTTCCATAAAAACCCTTTCTTTTGAGGGAGCCTTAGAATTACTACACTAAAAAATAAAATACTTAGCATGCCACACGTGTGGGTCACTGGTTATGTAATGGTACACAAACAGCTAACAGACCCAAGAACAAATGTTCAAAATTTTGTGTCACATCCCACACACATTACTTGTATCTGATATTTTGTGAATTTCAGACATAACAAAAATGCGGTGATCTTGTCCAAATACTGTCATTTTTGCCTTTTCATCCTGTAATATTCTTGGAGTATATTGAAGTGGCTGCACCACATTTCTCATTTTTCATATTTGTGATCATCCAAATATTTTGTCTGTTCATGATTATCCTGTGGTTGCTTTGGAGAGTCAGAAAAATGGAATTAATCTACCCATTCCCCAGTTCTGCTGAAGTTCATGCTGAGTATCACTGTCGCACCTACTTTCCAGGGGTTTGTCTGTATTTGATCCGTTTCTTCCCCAATTTTGGCTACTGTGCAAGGGCAGTGGTAGCATCCACATTCTCATTTAGGAAATTTTCATCTCTGAGTTTTTTCACATCCAATTTTTCATGAATTGACTGTCAGTAAGGATGCTGCTCACTATTGTTTCCTCTCTTCACTTACCAGTCAACATCCAGTGGGAAATTACCTTTTGTCCAGTTTCAGCTGGCATGGTATAGTTCAAGATTCTTCCTCCCTCTTCAAATTTTGCTCAGAAATCAGAATCTGCACACTTGTGAATAGGAAATTATGCTTAATTTTGGCATGGTTTTGGTTTTTCCATTGTCTACTCTTTGGGGAAGATGTTGTGTTTAAACCTCTTTTAGGAGATCCACAGAGAGCTGATACTTTTAACCGTAAAACAGGCAGTAAAAGGAGATGTAAATAATTAGACTAAAAGGACCACACTTCCATCCTGGAAGGAAATAAAAAGGTATAGATATTTCAGGTATTAAATAGTGCTCCTTCTTGCCCCTGTACTCACCTAAAAAAACCTGAGGCATAATCTGAATTTATTTTATTTATTGGTTCCTTGTTTATCAGTGTATTTTGAGCAAATATCAATGAATACTTTGTTGTTTAATGAGTTTCTCTCAACTCAGAATTCTTGTAATCCAAGCCTGTCACCAAACAGGAGCTCTAAAACCTGGTAGTGTCCATCTGAATTCTATTAATTGTCCAAGATTTATACAAGGTGCAACATCCCTGTTCACACCAAGACCTCCAGTAAGTTCAAACTGATAACATCACAAAATTGTGTGTAATTATGAGAGAAGCTCAATATATTGAGCAATAGTGCAGGTAGAACACTCACAAGTTTAATTAATCGTGTGCACAGGCTTTGATTATGTTGCATTGCTTTTGTGCCATCACAATAGTTAAAAATTTTACTTCTGCTGTGTTCACATAATTCCCTGCATTAAATATTTTAATGCAGTAGTTGAAGCAAGTGCTTGCACTAAGTTTTCAGTCAAAACCACTTTGATTATTTAGTATAAAGCATTCAAATCTTTGTGGTGTTTCATGCAGTCAAATTATTTAGAATTGAAGGTTAAAATACTGTTGAGGAGTTGGTACTGGAATTGCCATTGATTTTTGATGAAGTTGGGCAGCCTGTTTCTCTAGGATGATTATAAGATTCTTTTAATATTCTTTTTTAATTTTCAGAGATGTCTCATTTTTGGTGCTTCCTGAATTGGGGTAAATCACGTATTTGCTTCACAGGAAAATAAAAAAAAAAAAAAAAATCTTCCATTTTTTGTACTTTACTTTGTCTTTAAAACTGTTTTCTGGCCAAAAACCAGTCAAAATTTAAGTCAAAATTAACTCAGTTTCTTTCACTTCAGGCCCCTGACTGAAAGGAAAGCTTGCAGTTAGTCTTTATCTGGTATGAGTACAAAAAAGCTGGAAAATATCCCATCAAGTGCTAATGAACCAGAGCCAGGAGTGAATTGGGGAGCTGGTTTTGGAAATTCTGCATGCCCTTCCTCGTGCCTTCGAGACCTTTCTTCAGTGACATAAATTTCTGGAGAGAAAAGAATTTCTCAGATAAACTGGTTTTATTGGTTATTATTTCAGTCAGTAAAACCACACAGCTGACCACACAGTGGCAGGTGGGATAAGTTTCTCAGCCTAGGAACAAAACCCAAACATGTAGTTATTTCCTGTGATGCTTAATGTGTTTTAGTTATTGCACACAGGTTTTTGCCATGCAAGCAGATTTTCTATTTTTGCTATCAAAACTAAACATTGTTGTAAATAAGGTCAT